CGCCCGCGCACGCGCACGCGCACACGCGCACACGCGCACGCGCGCACACGCGCACACACACCGGGAGCGCGCACAAACATGCCCACACATGCGCACACACGCTCAGCTCGCACGCATAGTGTACGCACACATATGCACGCACACACGCACACATGCACAGCGTGCGCAGAAAAAAGTTCTGACTGCACTCTGTCTATAGGCACCAACTGCGAGGCCCGGCGCACATGCTCGAGAATGGAGGCGAGTGCAAGGGAGCGATTGAGAGAGAAAGAAAACGACATGCAAAGACGACAAGCCGGCCCGAGCAACGAATGCCAGCTCACGCGTCCTGTAAACTTGGATCATTTGTGTGGAAAAACTGTCAAACGTTCAAGGTAAGGCTGCTGCTACGCCATTTGAAGGCCTCGTGAAGAGAAATACATGCACGGCACTACAGCAAGCTCGGAACACATGAATGTTGTCCCATGTAAGCACATGTCAACACAGCGTAACGGCCTTGGGCGGTTGGCGTACGTCATGTTGCGTGGCTGCGAAATGCTGGAGCGTGCTTGTGCTTGGGCTTGGGCTTGGGCTTGTGCTTGTGCTTGTGCCTGTGCTTGAGCTGATGCTGGTGCTTGCGCAGCTGGCGCAGCTGGCACAGCTTTCGGAAAGGACATGATTGGAGAAGATGCCCCACTTGGATGGCATTTGTATGCTGGAGCAGTTGCCGCCTCAAGGACACATGGGAAATTGTGGGATGTCGCCGATGTCGGCCAACACATGCACATGCCAGCACTGCCCAACAGACCGAGACATCGGCAGCAAGTGGCATGTAGGCCCTTGCGGAATCCATTCCTGCAGATTTGATGTGACACTAGTGTTACGCAAGGGACTTCTTTGCAGCCGCTTCGAGCTCAGCCTGTTGAAGGTGACATCTGCCTGATCGTAGATGTACAGAGACTTGCCATGACTGGAGCAATCCGAAAATTCAAATCTCAGATATTCAGATATTCTCAGCAAAGAGCCCATTCATCGCACTCACAGCTGACGACCTGCACTGATTCATCGAGTCATATGTCCAGTGCCGTGCTCTCGAGAAGCCTGCCACCAGGTGGGGCGAATCGAAGACCTGACACTGAGTATATCTGAGTATACTGGAGCGATGTCACAGGATTCTGAAAACAAAGCGCTTGGCTGTGCAAATTCTCTGTAGATGCCACCGGTGACTTGTCGCGCGAAACCCTGAGCTCCAAGAGGTGGCACAGAACACTCCCACAGAAAATAAGTCAGTGGAGCCGAAGCATCTGGGACTGGGACCCCGTTGATGGAGGCGCGGTGAAGGCCTGCATTTGTCCTGTCCTGGAAGACATATTGAACCAAACAGAGAAAGCACACGCGCTCACTCTCTCTTTCTTTCTTTCTTTCTTAGGGGCATGAGGAGCCCAGGGCCCCCCGCGCGACAGCGCGCCCCGCTCCCGCTTCAGTTCCGCGCTACCACTCACACTGGTGGCCCTTTGGCCACAGCAAGCGCACCACCTGAACAGGGCCTGTTTCGACCCGTCCGCTGTACTCCCCGCATCGCATGCTTTCTCTCTCTCTCTCTCTCTCTCTCTCACTCACTCTCACTCACTCATGCAATGTACACCGTAACAATCTGTATCGTCTCTGTCCTTGCGCGACCATTGCCACTCGCAGCGCTGACCAGGCCAGCAAGCCCTGACCTCGATCACTGAGTCACGGAGACTTGACGGCCAACATAAACCGCGCACTCGCTCTCAGCTGCATTAGCCTTAGCTCCTGACCCAACGACACACCGCTCCGGTGAGACCTCTGCGTCATTCGGCTTCTGCAGATCACTGAAAAGCACATCACAAAAATCACCCATTCTCGGGGTTGAGCAGAACGTTCAAGGGTCGGTCCCCCTGGTGAAGTTGCAGATGCGCGGGTCCTCAACAATTACAGAGGGAGCGGATGTCTGTTGGCGACACACAGCGCCACAGCCTCACACCCTCAGGTGGACGGATGACGGGGCCTGGCGCAAGATCCTGCAAACGCAGACTTTTGTGAAGCGTGACCCTAGCCTGCACGCTTGAAAAGAACAAAAGGATTAACATCCATCCTCCTCCTGTACTCGTCCAAGTGGGCCTACTTCATCAAGGACCAGGCGAGGTAAACGCCAAACAATATGACCGCCATGCCAACCCATAGCTCGGAACCATTTTGCGACTGATGTGCTAGCAAGGCGAAAGGTGCTGACAACAGCTCCTACAGATTTCTGCGATTTTGTGTGGAGCGGATGCCTCATGACAGCGAAGGTGGCAACAGTCACAAAATCTAGTCTAGCGGCAATCCTTTGCAACTGCGGAAGCTTTGAGTCTGACTAGTTGAGTCATGGGCATCTTAAAGTTGCACTTCTATCAGGAGAAATGCAATCAAGTACGGAGGGCGCGTATTTGCACCTACCGAAAGTTGCAAAGAGTGCACGTAGAGATTCTCTCTGCAATGCTGGCAGTCATGCACCTACCCTGCTGTTTAGCTGGGCTACACAAGCTATATGAGTGAATCAAGCTCCTTTGGCCAGGATATGTGGCAACCTCTTCACTGCGCACCTCAGGCCCAAATCGATATGGAGTCAGTGGAACATTCGAAAGGGCAGTGACATTGCCAAGCTGCTGCCCCGCATCATCTGTCTCTTCTCCTGCAGTCCGAAACACCGCAAGCAACCGACTAGCAATTCTCAGCATCAGCCATGCACCCCAGAAGCAAAATTCGCACGAACAACGGTCTTTGCTACATGTAGAACTGTTTGCGTGGCAAAAAAAGAGGAATCCTTTGTCAATTTGTCACCACGTAGGGCCGGGGGAGGGATATTGATGTACTCGTCTCGAGGGTTCGAAGAGCGTGTAGAATACAAAGCTGCACGAAGCCACTAAGCCCCACAGAGCTCCTTCTGTCGGCGCTTTTTCTCGCCCGGCTCGCAGAGGTGGCAGAACTTGCACACAGCCCCATTGTCACATCCCTGACATCCGAAGAACTGTGAATCTCCTAACGACACACAACGACACGCTAGTAATGCCAGCATGAACTTGTCAAACCCTGACAGCTCCGACCTTCGTGTGGAGAAATGCACAGGGCTTGCCTGACAGGCTTGCCCCCTCCATCGATTCAAGCAGTCTTGTTTCACGAACAAGTCGGTTTAGTCGATGTGTTGTGTTGGTGATCGGGCCATGTGCCTGCATCCTTGCCTTCCAGTTGTGCCCTTATGCTCGTGTTTTGCTTGACTTGCTGGTCCTGCTGCGCCGTTTGTCACCCCACGACCCCTGTGGCTTGCAACCGCCATCATTTCTGTTGATTGGACATCCTGAGCAAAGAGAGTGCGCGTCTACAGAAACAAGTCAGCACGCAAACTCGATCAGGTCTGCCCAGGTGCACTGGCCGAGAGAGTGCCCTTGCGATCCGATGCTAGGAAGTTCGAAGGATCCTGGTGCAGGTCCAACCTCAAGTGGCGTGAACAACTCGAAGAAGCTACTGATGCAAGGAATGGATGAAAGTCATTGGCAGGAGCTGGAACGGTCATCAGTGGGCTGGTGGCCAGTGGTCCCTCGGCATGTCAGCAATTCGAAACATGAGTAATGACTGGACAGTGACTGGACACATGCGCAACTTGGCTTCCAGGCCACGGGATATGAGTCCACTTGTGGCTTTGCCCTTCCGAGCCTGGGCTAGTGTCAAATCAACAGGCTCGACACAACGATCGAGAACCTGATTGCCAAGAGCAGCGCCACGGTTCTCCATATTGTTTGCGAATGTGTGTGGATGGAACGCAAGGAACTGGAGCCTGTACAGCACATGGTCAACGGTGAAGGTGTGCAGGAGTTACGCACGTGCCGATGTCACTTTTTCGCACCTGGGGAACCATCTCTGGAGGTCGGCATCCCAGGTTCGTAGGAATGGCAGGATGCTGGCATCCTTGACGGTCAAAGCGGTCAAAGCGGTCAAAGCGGTCAAAGCGGGGCTGCCAAGTCTCACCTGCGAGTATGTGGGGCACAGCAGATCGTGCATGCAGCCGTAATCACCACAATCCGGTCAGCACATAAACAGCAGCCTTGACAGCCTTGAGAAGGATGCCAGATACCTCCCCAACCTGGTGGCACGTGCACATCGTGGACCTGCGAGCCATTTTGAGTCTAGAGCATTCAAATTCTAGAGCCACTCAAGGAAAAAGGAACGACAGCTGACCGTGAAGCTGGGGCAAGTGCCTTCGCTTCGGTCTTCAAGGCGTCGGCGTTGTACATTCCGAGGAAAGGGCTCGGCACTGCGGCCGTTTGTGCTGGGCTCGGGCGGCTCGGGGGGTTCAAGTTCACAAGGCCCAGCCGTGCTGCAGGAGCTGCCGGTGTGGCTGCCGGAGCGCTTTCCGGAGAGAGCGTCGTGGTGCCTCCTCCCGTGAAAAACCACTCAGTTCGTATCTCGCTTTTTGAGTTTCGAAAAAGCAACCACAAAAACCATGCTGCCCACAACATGACCGACTCGTCTTTCGCACTCGTCAGAGGCACCTCTTCGTGCGCAATGCATTTGGGGATTCAGCACAGGGAGCACGGGCTTGTTCATGCATTCTGAATGCGGATGTTGACTCTGGGCTGTTCAGCGGTGCTATTGAGTGCGATGTCGGTCACAATAGTGTGGACATGTGTGGGACCCCCCCCCCTTTCCTTACTTTTGGACGTAGACACGGCCCAGAGACGGCCTTGAGATTCCTCTTGCAGCTTTCAGCCCCTTCCCGTGGCACCCATGCCGCGCACATGCCGCGCACATGCTGCGCACATGCTGTCCTGAGTTGCAAGAATCTCCAGGTTCTCTCTATCCTGGGTAGTCAGACTCTGGCATGCCCATGCTTACGACCAATAATAATCTTCCCTCAACAGACTCTGACGGCAGCGCAGTTTTCGTAAGATAAAGCCTATGTTCGGGGGACGTGCAAAGCATACAGTAGTGTGTAGAGACCTCCCTTCTTCAGAATCCTGCCATCTGGAATGTTTAATAGCAATGTCGTGCGCTTGCACACAAGCTGCGCCCGTACAAGCAAGCTCGCGTTGCGCGATTGTGCGCAAATGGAAGCGTGGGCGCGTGCTACATGCAACATCATGCAACCCAACCCACCGCTGCGTGGCGCTGGTGTGTGCGCCTCTCAGGCTCAGAATTTCCCGAGCTCCCGACATCCGACCACCTCTCCCCTAACCGACAGTCTCAACAGCCAGTCACTCTCTTTTGCCCTGCCCTTTCCTGTGGAAAGATCTGCCCAAGAAGTCCGCACAGAGCCATCGTAGCTGTTGTTCACCAACGGTTCTGGATTTCCTGTGGTGTCTCGCCACACGTGAACTGCATGCGACCGAACATGCACTATGCCAGTTCTGTGCCTGGCAGAACGTCAACCAGACGCAGCACTGGCTTGCACGGAGGGCACTCTACCTCAGACTCAGACTGCATGAAGGAGCAGGGAAGGCGGGCAAGGCATTGATCTTCCCGAGAGAATGACGAGCGCAACGTGCCGCAACGATGCACTAATTGTAAGTGAAGCAGCTGTGGCATGCGTAACAGCATGCAGAGTCTCTTTCAGCTGTGTTCCGACTGGGCTCTTGCAAGGAGTGGGGAAACCTGACGGACCGCCGAGAACCTTGAAAGATCTTACTACAAGTGCCACGTTTCACAAAGAAGTTCGTTGCCTTCTCTCCAAAGCTGGTGTATTCGACCTGCATGCCTGCAGACAACACACTGCGACAGCTTCCGGCAAGCTTTCTACTTCCGGCTCCCTGCCTTGCAGGTGCCGACTGTGCTGTTTGCTCAGAAAGCTGCTCATCCTCCCCCACATCTATGAAAGTGTTGCGGACTCGAAGCGGAAGTGGAAACGTTTCCTTCACACATCGCCAAGATTGCGCACAGTTGACAAGTATGAGGAAGCGTGACAAACTCAAATCGCGGTGCAGTGCCTCCAGCTCCGAAGGGATGGAGATCTCGAGATCCTTGCGATCCTTGCGATCCTTGCCATCCTTGCCATCCTTGCCCCTTGAAAGCTTGTCTCCACAAGGCCCCAGAGGCGCACGAGATGTCAGGAGAGTTGGCAAGCTCGGCACATCGGAGTACCTCAACAGCGTCTCAAAAAAGTCAACACAGTGAAACGCTTGCAAAACTTGTGCTCTTGTACACAACTGCATGCGGCAAAAAGCTCAACGACTTCGTTCTGCAGATGAGAGTCATTGGAGGTAAGGTGCGGCTAGTTCAGATTGCGCACTTTTTTCTCTACCGGCGTTGAGCCAAACCTCTTAAAACAGCGCAAGCAGCCATAGTCCGTGTCAACATGTGCCAAGGTGTGCCAAGATGTGCCAAGATGTGCCAAGATGTGCCAAGATGTGCCAAGATGTGCCAAGATGTGCAAGATGTGCAGATTTCGGACAAGAACTTCAATCGGAGCGCTGCAAAGCGGTGCAAAGTGCCGATAGTGGTGCCTTGCAGCTCATTCGCGGCAGCTCCCTGTAGCAGAGTTCAGCGGCAGCTCTCCACGAAAAAATGATGCATCAAGAGCTGAGGCTTCGGCCGCCCGGGGACTGCTCTTCAGATGTGCACTCTCGGCCCGTTGCAGGCGCTGCTGCTTCTCAAGTGTACCTCCGTGCTTAGACTCTTTATGCGCAGCGGATTGCGCAGGGCAGCCGAACCTGCTGGTCTGAATGGCAACATAAAGTGCCTTGGTGTGCGAGATGACAGCCCTGTGACAACACTTGTCCCATTGGCCTTCCTTGAGAGGCTGAGGCCCTCGCCCTGCACCTACCACTGCGGCATCTAAAAGTCTAAACCAGTCAACTGTGAACTGATGCAATTGTAGCTATGCTGATCCCGACACATTGCGAGTAGGCAACCCAGATGAACATAATCAGTCGAGCCCTGATGCCCCAACACCGGAGAGAACACGCACACACATTCAAGCAACTGATGCCTGCCTTGCGAGTCAGCGCTTGAGATCACCTGAGAAGATGCAATCTGTTGCACCCCATAAAGTTGTTGCATCCAGCAGAGTCCAGCAGCTTCTGTTGGGCGAATGCGTTTCAAAAATCCCGAGTAGTTGAGCAAGAAGCTGGGCCAAGCAGCTGCTAAAAGATTCTCATCTCAGAAGGCAGCTAACAAAATGTGTAGGTTTGCCGAATGAAAGACATACACAGGCGGTGAGCATGCCTGGAGGCCTGGCACACATCGCATCAAAAACGCGCAGAGCGTATCAGACATGAGAATCTAGCTGGTGTCACGAAGCTGCCTCTGTTCACAATACTGCTCCAAGGAAATTGCCAATGCTCGCACAACAACTGTCATAGGATCTTGTCTACAATCTTGGCAAGCCTTTCGGGTACTTGCAAAAGTACCTCTTCTTTCCACCTTCGTTAAGCTCAGCTCGCGACTTGCTGACCCCTTTATTTCGACAGAAATCTTCTTCGGCGCCCCTTCATTCGGCAACTCGCCTTATCAAGAAGATTTCAGGCTTCCACCCGTTACCAGGTTCTGGTCAATTTCACTTTGCGCCGCAGGCCGTGCTGGCTGTTTCTTGTTGCTCGCCGCTCGGCTCGCCAGCTGATTGTCCAATGGGTGCTGGCTCCTTCAGCAGGCCTGGCCACTGTGCGCTCTGTTCCGTAAACAAGCCTGGCAGATCACGTGCTACGGACCAGAGAAAGTATTCCACGCAAAGCAAAGCATCTTACAAGACCTCAAAAATGCCAAATGGTTTGTATACCATTCAAGCAAGCTGCCGTCGAAGTGTCTCCGGCATCTTCACCAGACTCAAGGACACCCAGCACCTGTTCAAAGGTCTACTACGACCCATGAACTACATCTTCGAAAGGCTGGCCTGCTGAACAGAGTCTGTAATTCCCTGCAGCTTATCTTTGACGCCCTGTCGCAAGTTGTCACCACGGCTTTTCCTGCAGTCAGACTTCATCAGACGGCGCAGTTAGAAAAGTTAGCAAACAGACCTATTTGGTCAAGATGGTCCTCTCTGCTGGTGGTGCAAGCCAGGATGGCTTTACCTGTGCCGGCAACCCAATGATATCTAATGAGCCCTACGAGAGGGGTCAGCAACGGATTCGGAAACTGAAACGCGCGGATTCGGAAACTGGAAAGACATAAAAACCTGATTCGGAGACTAGAAAAAACCTGACCCGGTAAACCAAAAGCAAGTCGCCTCCCACGCGCCAGCGTCGCGACACCCCGCGGGCACGCAGAGGGCCCCCGTTCGCGGACGAAGACGTGAACGCTCCCCACGCGCCAGCGCGATTTTTGGCCAGGTGCGACGAGTCCCGCCAACCCTACCCCGTGCTTTGAAACATACAAATTTTAAGAGGAACGCCACGAAATCCATCAAGCCGTAACAAAGACCCTTCCCGAAGACCACCTCCGCTGAAAAACCCTCGCCATGCTCTCGGGAAAAAGCAAAACCTCAGCCTTAGACAAGAGCCTAGGACGAGTATCCGAGCGTGGCCACTTTTGCATGCGCTTGGGCCGTTTGGGTGTCAAATGGCGGTCCCTGGCCGGCTCCAAGCGCCAAAGAACCATCCAAAAACTCGCGCAACTTTTGCTTCAGCTCTTTCCAACTGCCTTCCAGCGCTTTCTCTCCCACACCCTCTTCATCTCTTTTCCCGCCTTCGACAAGGACCCCATCCACTTCGCGTGTACCTCACGTTTGCAAGCGCTTGGGGCACTTTGGCATTTTGGCATTTGTCATCATTTGACAGAATGCCACAGTGCAAACCTGAGAGCTCAACGCCATCGGTCGACGATGTCTCGGCAACCGACCTTTTCAAAGGGCGAGCCGGCGAGCCACAACCGTTCTTCCTGCATCTTCCTGCTACACAAGAACCGCCTCGAAAGTCCTGTGTCTGTAGACCTGGGAATCACGATGAATCACGTCATGGCTGCAGTGCAACAGGCAACAGGCAACAGGCTGGACATTCGAAAAGATTCGGGCGCAGTCAAGTCCTCCACCTGTTGCAGGGCGCTCTCAGATCTCTCAGCATGCTGAAGCGACGTGACACAATTGAGGCACAAGCCTGTGGGCCCATCTTGGCCTGCACAGCAGGGGAGTGTGGGAGAGGAAGGATATGGAAGGATATGGAAGGATCAAAGCGACACTAGTGTCACACTCCTCACCTCCAAGGATGCAACGCGAGGTTCCACACGCGCAAGGACGAGCTGCGACAGCTCCACCTCACCCCACTGGAGTCACTGGAACCATCTTAGAACCATCAACATCCGTCAAAATCCATTTTAAGACTGCGTCAAAATTTTGCAACACATGGCAACACATTGCGACGCAAGGTCTGAAGCTTTCTTTACAGAACGCTTCAGAGATGCGAGGCAAAACTCGGGCCTGCATGGCCTCCAACTGCGACACACATGTTGAGAGCATTCCGCGAAGTCGCTTGAGGTCTGATCCAAATGTGGCCTTCGCACTTGGCGCAATGTGCTGACAATACAGACGATGCTTGCACAATACCTGCACAAATCACAGTGCTCCACGCTGTGACATGAGGCGAATAAACTTGTGGGGCTTGCCGGAAGACAGCACAACGACAGCATAGCGAGAGACAGAAAACAGCTGAGCAGCTCTCATCCTTCCCCCCCCCCCCCCGTAGTGTCGAACCGTCAGGGTACCCAGGTGCGCCTCAACAGAGGCGACCCTGGCCTCACTGGCCTCCGCCTGCGCCGATGCCTTTCACAGTGTGGGAGCCCTGCTCGTGTCGCGTGCAGACTTCCAATCTGTTTTGACATGATTCCAACCTGTTGCCCGAAGCCTTTACAGGTTCGAGTATGATTTCTGCATTCAAACTGAATGCCAGATGAACTTGAGTTTGCCTCGGCACGAAGTTCTCGAGCAAGCGCGTCGATGCGTCGAAGTGCGACCTCCACTGCTTCCATGGCTGTTCTTCTCCATGGGATGCGGCACACGCTGACTGAAGAATACTGGCCACGACCCAGCCTCAACACGGCCGTTCGAAGCCTCTTCAACCTTGCCAAGCTGCACGACTGGGTCCCCCCGCAGTGCTGGCTAACTCTTGTCAGAAAATGGGGGGGGGTTCTCTCGTATCCATGAATGAGCAAAGTCCGGGACTGCTCCTCTCGAACAGGAACCTGAGGGCAACACATCACTCGAGGTCTTATCTGCCCTCAGGTTGCCTGGAACTGGAAGGGTAAGTTGGCCATGCTTCTGTCCACACAGGGTCCACTATGACCATGATGTCTTTTCTGGACGAGTGTTTCCGGCACATGCGTAGGTACGCAATGCCCCAACATCGGGCCTGACGCGGTACCAGAAGCGAGATTTTTGACTTCGGCAATGACAGCCTTAGGGATGCGCTTTGCAGCGTTTGACATCTGACGTCTCCAATCATTCTCTACCAGGTTCTGTATCTCCACCAAGCAATTGGCTTGCGCTTCTCTTTCCAGGTGCTCTCGTTGCTGCGCGACCACTCGCCTCAAAGGCTTCGTGAATGTTTCATCAAGAACTCATACAAACTGCTTTGGGCAACATGTTCAAGCAGATGTGATCCCAGCTCGAAGTCGGCACGCTTTCCAGATAGATCAGCAGCCATGCGCTCCTTGCGCAGATGCTACGCCATCCTATCAACTTTGCGTGCTCGCAAGGTTGCAAGCCTATGAGGATCTGCCAAGCGTGTGCACGCGTAAAGAAGCGCGGGGATCATGATCATTAACCAAATCATGCTTACCGCTCCCAGTATTTCGTATGACTGTAGGTCATCATAACATTGCTATTAACAGTATGTTGTAACAAGCTTCTGGCTTCAGAAAAACAAGCTCCGAGATTAGCGAAAGTCTGTGGGCAATGATGCGACGACGCCATTGGCTGAGCAGGCGCAGCCCGCGGAAAAATTAGATTCGCAAGGAAGGTTGTCGGCATGTTGGAGAAGCCAAGCGTGCACACTTCGGTATGTTCACCAAGAACGAGTGTCCGGCTAAGTGCCGTGTGCTGCCACAGTGGAGACACCTGACCCTGGGAGTTTATCGCATCTCTCTTCCAGTGTGCAGGAGGACCTCACTACCTTCTTTTTGTTTTGTCAGCCTTTTTTGCTTCTGGCTTTTTCAAAAGCCACATACATCGCAAGTTCAAGTTGAATGGCATGCTCGTTTTCGGGTATCTCCGAATGAAGCTCCTTTAAAACGTGTTGGGCCACTGCCTCCTCTTGGTCCGCGGTGACCCTGCTTTCCTCGTTCCCATAGGTGGGGCACGAGCTGCTGCATTTTCGTTCGTGCAAACCTTCACCCTTAACTCTTGACCCCTTATGGCCTGCTCCACTGCCAGATCAAAATTGGCGAGCCTCTCCTTCTTTGTTCACCCGGCGTAACTACTCGGTATAGCTCAACGGCAGTCAACGGACCTGATAGCGGCGGATATGTATCTATGTCTATGTCTGACTCTGCAAAGGCAATCAAATCTGTACAACATCCTGGCTACAACTGCCTGCCAAACATAACCCTGATACACAACAACGTTTACCGAACAGCGTGCTTTCGTGGCACCCTGCGGCAACCTTTCTGTGTTTCGGTTGCTGTGGAAGCTAACGGGAAATAGTCGAAAAAACTGCACCGTAGCAGTCCTCCGAACGCTGAATGCCTGCTATGGCAGACTTGGCCACTCGCTCAGTAAGACTACCAAGGTCGCCAATCGCTTGGTCATGCTCCTGCGCAGACGTTGGAGCCAGCACATGCATGAAACAGTAATTGGAAAGACCTGCCTCACGGATTGTGGCTACCTCCTTCGCCTGCACTTGGACATCGGGATCTGCACATGCGCAGCGGAAAAAGGAGGCCCGTACCAAGCGGAGGATGTCATTGGTTGATGATACAAGCGATGAGCGCATCTCACCTGTGAAAAATCCAAACTGCACATGTTCACGGAATCCCTCTGCAGCACCGTGCAACACCAGAACCAGCAGAAGGCAGCGGCACCTAATTCCGCAGCATTGTTGCTTCTGTCTGCTGTCGCCTTGATGGTGTCCTGCGAATGCTTGGCTAGAGCAAGACATGAAAAGACATGAACAGACAAAAAGCGCTCAGGTGCTGCGAAGCGCCTCGGCGTTGGGTGAACGATCTTCAAGGGCCTGGCAACGCCGCACCGGCACAGCGACACGTCGTCAAAGCACCGTCAAAGCAAAGGGAAGAAGGATCCGGAAGTGAAGAAAAAGCGACGGCTAACCGGGGTCCAAGCTTTCAGGCGAACATCCAACTGCTCGAGAAGATCAGATGCCTCCCAAGGACTCCTAATCATTGAAGCAACCTGTGCTGAGCCTTATCTGGTTTACATCATTCATCTAGATATGTATTTACATGCCGTCATAGGCCTTTGCCACCCCTGGGACATGGCTTCAAACACTCCGAGATCACATGCTCACAGCCCTGGGATTTGCAAGATGCCTTGGCTGCTGATTACGCTACGCATTCAACGCAGAGCATTCATGCAGCGTTCCTTTTAGTACTTTTTCCCGTGACCGGTGACATCATTGTCCACGCATGGGTCACTCACGGGCCGCATGTTGCAATTATCGCCAAGGCGTCGCGTCCCAACAGCAATACTGCAAGCAACCCTGCACATGATGGGGCATGTCGCCATGCCTTTGGGCTCTCCCAGATGCTGTGCCGAACAATGAATGCGCTGACTACAAGCCCTGGCCTCTTTCTTGAACTCTCCCTTCAGGACCCTTTCGGTCACCTGCCATTCACAACTGAGAAAAGGTGAGAGACCGGAGCTGATATCGGCCTCGTTAGCCGAAGCGATATCTCGCTGATTCGTTCGCAGATCCTGCACCGAAGCCTGAAGTCACAGGCTGAAAATGTGCACCGCTTCTGTGAGGCGTTGCCCTTCGCTGCGCATGCCTCGACAGCTTCGAGGCGCACGAAGAGCAAAGCACGACGCCCCTGCTCTTCCTTCACAAGTGCCTCGTTCTCTTCCAAGTCTCAGTGCTGCACCATGCTGGACGGCATTTTGGTTTTTGCTACCGGTACCATCGTCACCACATGCCTGGAGCTCGTCAGCCCGGGAGGTTTGATTGTCACTCTCCCGAAGAGCTGCCTGGACAAGAGGCTATCGGTGTCTGCGGCAGGTGAGATACCGTGTCGCCTCCAGTCGCTCTCGCATGGAAGTTGCATCGAACATGTGCTCACTCTGGATGGCCTTGGCAAGGAGGGGACGCCAATGCAAGATTGTTTCCAGAGGAAGATGTCAAGTGCTCAATTGTCGACACACCCTCCGAGAGTTATACTGACAGCTTCTTCTCGTAGACCTCCAAACGTTGTTTTAAGTCCTGCTGCGACGGGGAATCCACCGACACGCTGCCTCCCTGTGTACCACCACCACGAGCCTCACCAATGAGTCCTTCCTGCTTGCCGCCCTGCAACATGAACATGTGAGTAAGTGGGAAAAGGGAACAACACATGATGAAGCGAACCAGGCGAACCTTACTGAGATTTGTTGTGGGCAACATTTCGGTAAACCTTCCGCTTCCGCCTCCAAAGGTGTGCCACCAGGTCCCGTGGCTTGCCGTGAACTGCTCTGCACATCTCCTGCAGGCAGAAGTGTCGGTTTAGCCATGGCAAGCTTCCAAAGTTTTCAATCTGCAAAGGAGAATGCGGGGGAGGAATTCCACTCTCAACTAAGAAGATCAAAACGTTCTTCAGGCCCTCCTCTAGAACTCAGGAATAACTGTTGTAACTCTTAGCGAACTCTTCGCACGTCCCTGATTCTGAACACGCATCCTGGTGCATTTCTCAATGTTTGAGAGAAGCGTTGTTCCAGCTTGACCTTGGGCTCATTTTTCGGCCACAGCTGCAGTCACCTGCGCCACGCTCTAGGCTATGGTAGGACCTGGGAGCCAAGCCGCACCAATCTCGGCGCGCAAATCTGCAATGCCGCCTCGAGTGACCTTCGAACTTCAGTGAATATTTTTTCTGTCTCGGAGAGCGAGAGTTGAGGATGTTGAGGCCTCGGTCCAGTCATCAAGGCGTCGAGTCACCTGCAACAGCGGCATGATGTGGCATGAATTGGCATGATGTCACCAGTGGATTGCGCAAGTCTGTGGCTTGCTGCGGCATTCAGCTGTCCAGCTGTCCACGGCAACCACCCAGTTTCATGCAATTTGGTTTGGGCCCGAGATGCACTTGAGTGGAACGCAAATTTCGGACTCGTGCATGCCTCAGGCATGCTCAACAACCAACATAACACAGGGCTGCAACTTTGACCTTCATTGTTAAACTCGTATCGCCTGCAACGTCTGGAAGATATGTAGAGGGTTGAAGTGCGTGCTTAGAAGCTGTTCCCAACAGGAGGGGCTGGGAAATCTGAAATGTCCCCATTGTCAAGCCACCACGGGGGCTTATTCGGCCGACCTACCCAAACCGAGTCCGCGAGACACCTTTTGTGTCGGTGCAAGAGTTTCCCGGTTTCAAACTGCGGGGGGCCAGGTGGGCTGGCCATCCCGATGCAACGATGGATGAGTCCATCATTCAGCGGGCAGTGGACCTCTCTTGGCCAGCTCTGCTTTCCCACTGCTTCCAGTGGAAAGAAGACGTCTTTTCTTTAACGGTTCTAGCGTTGTGCTTGCGACGCATTCTTGCCGGGTCTCTCAACATGACGAGCCACTTTGCGGTTGAGTCTTCCTGTGGTCCAGTGGTGCGGTAAGACATTGGAATGGTACTTTGTCGTGCATGGTATGCTTTGGCAAACCGCCGTCACCTCCGCCATGGTGGACTCCAAGGTTGCAACTCTCTTCACCGTCTGGTCCGATTGTGCCTGCGATGTCAGTGGAACTGGCATTTTCCGGCTCCATCGAGTTCCAGACCTGAATAGAGTTCATCGCGTCCACTGGCAAAGGATTCACAGGAAGTCGGACCGACGACCTGAACGAAGCTTTGAAAAAGCAGAGTTCAACTATGTACAAGAATGATCAGGAATGTAACAGTAGCATGCCTTGGCGCCGAGCGCTTGTGCCTCACTGATTCGGCCATATCCACTTGAAGGTTGTAGCCTCACAACAGATACCGCACGATGCCATACAATGCCATGAGTGGGCTCATGCATGACACAGGAGCCTGTCCACACACGTCTGCTGCAGGGTTGCCATCCTTAGCAAAGCTCTGTGCTTCATCTGCCTCGCAGAAAGACAGCTCTGCTCTGCCTCGACCATCACGGCGTGAAGATTCCCGGCCAGCCCGTGACTTGAAGCCAAACACAAACAGGCGATTGCACGCGTGAGACCATAACAACTGAGTCGCTCTGCCGTGGTTACATTGTTTTGTTGAGACGGGCTTGAAACGGTTTGAGACGGGTGTTTCATCTGCGTGCTTTCGAGCGAGGTACTTGCATACTTACAAGATCGAAACTGCTACATTGAGAGATGAACGAAACTCTTCAACCTTGAAACCCAGCCACGTGCAAGTGAACATAACATAGAGCAGCACAAAGTCACAACGACCTACACCCGGCTCTTACAAAACTTAGACTTGGACGTGTGGCCCACAGGAGAACCACATGAACTTTGTCAGCGGGCATAAAGATCATCCACACGCACATGCGCTCCCGGGTCAAAGACCAGTCTTGATGTGCAAAAGACATCCGACAAACATAAACAGAGTCCTGATCAGCAGCAAGTCGTACAAGTCTCCAGTGATGCACTTTAGGGCCCCCAACATTAACCTTCATCAAACCTCGACGCATGTGGTCTGTATAATGCAGCTAAGCCCACTGCTCACTTCGCAAGACACGTAGGGGCATTTCATATGAATATGTGATTTTTTTCGAAATCTTGCAGCAAAGCTGCTCGGACCAAGCTTCGAGCCCTTCGAGAAAGCCAGAAACACACGTGAAAACACATAGTTTCGGCATGCTTTTGCTGTATTCTCGCTGTCCAGTGAAGCCATTTGGTGACCGTCGCTGCACATCGCTGCGGTGAAACGCCACATTCGCAGACAGAAACTTGGGAAGCGCTTCTTCCGCGCGATCTCTTGCAGCTACTTGCAGCTTTTCGAGCTGAGTCATTGAGGAAGAGCTTCGACGAACTTCTTCGTGCAAGTGACAAAGGCAAGAGTTTTCTACTAGTTTTCTGGTTCGTCAGCTCATCGTCTAATTGACTTTGACGTGAATGGCCACACAAAACTTTCGCTTCCAGCGTACTCAAGTGAACGCGCATAAGCTTGTCAACCTGCAGGCAAGGAAACAAGAAGACTCGAGAACCACAAGCAAACATCGGAGCTTGTTACCTGCTTCTATCAGTGCCTGAAACCTGCTTCGACTCGTCCGCTGCCTGGCTTCATTACGAGCTCTCACGCAGTTCATACAAGGCCGTCAACCCTCATCTAGAGCAGCAAGCACTGTCCAACTACCTTGTCATCTAACCCGATGTGGGCGAGCATTTCTGGATGCTCGGGTTAAACGTTACCATCTTGGCACCCAAGTCTCCTGCTGTGGCAACTACTTTTTATGTATCATCTGGAATTTCAGTCTGCTACTCATCTGGGCCAACACGTGCGCAAACATGTTGACGTCTAGTTCACGGAAGTGCCCCGACTCACACATCCCTTCACTCTTGATTGCGGAGGCCAGACAAAGATCCATTGCCCTGTAGAAATCTCTCTGCTGTGCTCCCTCGCTCACTCTTCTCGCTGCCAGCGCATACCGCAACTATATTTTCATGACGCAAGCGCCTGTTGAAGAAGAGCCCGGAAACATTCGACCTCTGAACTGCGATGCGGTTCACCTCGTCTCGCGGCTCAGCTTTGAATCATCGACAGGCGAAGTGCTTCCTGCCTTGGCAAGCTTAAACATGGCAACGGCAAAACGACGTACAACGACAGCATGCGACGGCACGCGACAGCACTCCATCCCGTGTTGTGGTATCAAAATGTGAAGGATCATGTCAACAGCAAGATCCAGGCAGCTCAGCATCCTCCTCGTCTTCCGCAGAAGGGAGCTCCCTCCCAGACCTTCGAAAGCGAACTTCTATACATTCGATGGATGAGACATAGTAGAAGGGCCCTCAGCGTCTCCAATGTCAAGTGCCGCACCCGGCCCATGCACCTTCACCAGAACGTACTGTCTAACTTGTTTCAGCAGAAAGATGCAGAAAGCAACAGCATCAGAAGACTTGACTTTGCTCATGGCGTGCTGATTCTTGAGGCCTAAAACATGCTGGTCACTCAGGCAAGCTTTGATACCAGTTTGCGACACAACGAATTGTGCAAACCTCCGGACCTTCTGGCCAAAAAAATCCTAAAACAAAGCAACTCGGCACACAACAAAACCCCCCTGCCTCTCTCCAAGCGTTCACCTCATCCACCCGAGCAAGGTCGCGTCAGCAAAGCTCGGATCAAGTTCGGCTGAGCACTTGAAATCCCCTAATCATTTAATCCTGCCGCTCAAGGCTGCGACGATAAGTGGGACCAGGCACAAACGTCGAGCTCCCATCGGGCTTTGTCCAGTGGAGACCTCACGAGCTCACAATGGTGCAGGGCAAGGCTACACACTCCTGCACCATTCTACTGCGGAAACATGCTGCGTCTGCGACCCAAGGCATCGATGGCGGGAGCCAAGCGGACCACCAGATCACTGCAGGGCCAGTGTGTCTCAACGCACTAGCGAAGCTCACCCTTTTAAAGAATCGGCCTGCAATGCTCCAGGTCATTTAAGGCACATTGGAAACGAGCAACCTGTGGCGTCAAAGTCGACTACGGCTACCAGAAACAAGGCGTAAACCATTCTGAACCTGACCTCGGCAGCGCGTACTCCTGATGTCTGCAAGCGGTACCGGTCACCCATATCCTGCCAAAGGCATTTGGTAGCATGACAAATCACATCGTGCGAGAATCGCAGGTGGCTAAAAGCAGCCAGGACATTAATGGATATTACGATGCAATCCCCAAACGATGGCGAAATGTGGCCTTGAAGCCCAGTCTTCGCAGAAGCATCGCGCAGGCTGGGACAGCATCTACCTCGAGAGGCAAAAAAAGACTGTGCTGAAGAATGCCGTGACAAGACTGTCACCTGGTCAACGGCAGCGCTGCTGCGCCGAAGCTCAGAGTACCTGGGCCTGAGGCTCCAAGTTGGCGGCAAGTCTCCAGCGAACACTTGAGACTTGAGAACGAATTGACACATCGGCTCTTCTCACTCCGGGGTGTCCTCTCGGGCCTTCTCACATCGCGCGTGAGTTTAGTTTGAACGAGTCCAAGTCGTGGACTCTGTTGGCTTGTCAAGTGCATTGCAGACCACCTGCAAGTTAAGTAAAGGTCGCCGAAGCACCACGCAGCCCGACAAAGCACCACGTGTCACACTGCGGGCCTTGACCAAGGTGTCAAAGCACTTGAGGCCCTGGTCGGAACCGCTCTGGGCAACACTCAGCACAAGCTGTCCAGTCCTTAGGTGGTGACACTGGCCGTCTGCACAGGAAGGTTCGGCACGAGGCGTCAACGTTGTAGTGCCACCCTCTGGCAGGCCATATGGATCCGCATTGATGCTCATGTATGCTTATGCAGAACCCAAATCTGTGGCGCTGTTCATGTCAGACTGGGGAAGCTTTGCTGGCTTAAGTGAGGAAGTCGCGGCAACTTCGAGAGGGAGTGATTGCCGCATCTGCACATTGCTACGGTCACTGACGAAACGGCCAGGTGGTATCGGAACAAAGCAGGAAGCGGCAACTAACTGACAGGCTCATCAGGCTCTTTTTGGCTGGACGAAGGCTCAGCAGTGAAGAAGAGTGTAAGATAGTGTAAGCATGTCCCGGGTCCGTGGCGCTCTTTTTCCGAAACAGTCTCGGAATCCCTCTCGGAATCCCTCTGGATCTCTCCCGCTCTCTTCATCCACTCGGAGAAAGAAAAGAAATCCATCCGCCAAACCTCGCATGCCACTCCAAGAAGCAGTTTGGATGACATGAATTAACGTACTGGGACACAGCTGAAATGGGAGTTTCCGAAATCCTACTATTTGGGGTCTATTCCAGGGGTCCCCTATTTTGTTAAACCCCCAAATCTCGAGAAAGAAGGCGAGAAGGGAGGCCACGGCGGTCGTCAAACGATCCCATGCCCAAACGCGAAACATAGAGAACGCCATGATAAAGACAAGAGCCGACTTCCCGGCAAACCCAAACACAAAACCTGATTCCAATTTACAGCGGGTCAACGTGAACCCTTTTTGATTCGCATTGGCACAGCACACGGCACAACAAAACACGACGGTTTGAAAAGAAATGGGAGATGACCTCCCGCTCTTTGAAACAGGTCCAGACAAGAAGCTTTAGCACCAGCCTGCAGTTCTCGAGGAAAAAATTGCCGGTCAGAGTTAACTGGAGAGAGCGAGAGGAGGGGTTGGATCCAGAATCAAAGCGATGGCAATAAATCCTAGGATGATGGTGGCTGGTGCGTGTGAACAACTGCTGGCATGTGATTGCTCGAGAATCAATGGGGACTGCCACTCCGTAATTTGATCTGGTTTTGTCCAGTAAGCTTGAAATGCAGTCTTGCCGCATTGAACTTAAATATGACTTTCAACTGAACTGGTCTCCTTATGCCAAAACTTACTATGCAAATTCAACAATTCGGGCGCTAATTCTATCCATGCTTAAAGATGCATAAAAGAAGTCAAGCATGATAACAGTGCATGCCAATTCCTCCCGTGTTTGGACGTTTCATGTTTGGTGTACCTTCCGCCAAAGTCAATGAGAATACGTGTTGCAATGGAACCATTGGAAATACCTTGAGTGCGTCCATGCGCTAAACAACAACAAGTAAAAGCATACCCCCTACCCCCTACCCCCTACCCCCTGCCCCCTACCCCCTACCCCCTACCCCCTACCCCCTACCCCCTACCCCTTACCTCCTACCCCCCCCCCCCTACCCCCACCCTCCCTCCCTCCTCCTGCGGCATTGAACGGTTCTTGATGACTTCTAAAGATGGTGTTGGCCATGTCCAATTCTGAAAGCTCTGTTGACAACTTCAACACGGAGCACTGGGAACCTACCTGATCTAAGCTAATGCCAATTCTTTTGGATGTTGTGTAGCTGTCCCCTTACTAGGGCCCTTGTAACCTGTAGCAGTAGTACAAGTCCTCTGAGGGAAAGCTCCCAAAGCCCCAAACACACAAAAGAAGCAGGAGGCTTGCTCCTCCCCCGCCTCTACTGGCGTGCAGAAGTGTGGAGGTGCGTCAAGCCATTTCACAGCATAAGGTCACGCTGGGGTTTCTCCTTTCTTTCCTTTCCACGGAACCTGCAGCTGTATGCAGTTTGAACAGTAGTTTTGGCACGAGTCGTTTATCGTGGCATCTGGCTCCCCGATATTTTGAAAAAGGGAAAATGCTCTGAGCATCGAATGGCGCCGCATAGCGCCGAATAGGCCACGTAGCCTTATGTCCAGGAAGAACTAGAAAGCGGCAGCAGTCGCGTTTGACAACACAAAATCACACTGGAGCAATCTGGAGCAGCGAGTTAGAGAAAGTTAATGTACTCTTGTTCTCTCACTGCTCTCCCTTAGTACTTATCTCGACTACTCTGTTTCCTCTGTTTTTTTCTGTCCTGTTCTACACGCTTTGGGGTGAAACTCTGAGCATGCTTTCCGTGCCCCAAGTTCTCTGACTCAAGGCACGCCTTCTCACTGCCATTTCGGACGCTGGTGTAAAGGACCTTTCGTGCAATTCCCTGAGTCTTGTATTGTCCCACATGCTTGTACTTCTGTTACCAAAGTGTTCATGTGTGCTCATATTCCAGCACAGGCTTGGGACCGAGCGAGTGCTTCCGCAAGCCACTCCAGTATAGGCCTAGAAATTTGAATCTTCATGCTCGAGTCATAATACGTCCAGCAGCCCAAGTGGTCGCAAATCTCAGATGCACTCCGCCACCAGCGCTGCATCCGCTGTTGCCCGGGCAGGAGATGCTAACCTTTGGTCTCTGCCTGCAAGCACAAAGGCTTCATGTTGGGACATGGTGGCACGTGGATGCACATGGCACTGGGGAAATTGATGCTTCACATACACTGAGTTGCTAGCGCTTTGGTGCGGCTCTCAACACACTCTTGAGACTCTTTGGCGCAGCTCTCTTCGGGTACTTTCGCTTTGCGGAGGTTGCCTCACTCTTTCGGCTTCAAAGCCCAGGAGGCAACACTGCTGTGACCCACAGAACAGGGCTTGGCACGCTGCGTCCTTTTTACAATCCAGTGGAGCCGGCGTTGTGGATGGACGGGAGCCTCGGCAACCGATCGTGTGATCGATACCAGCACTTGAAATGCAGAACTTGCCAACGTATGAGGCCGCTTCCACTTGGTGGCGGTCTTTTGGAAACTGCGGCATCGGCTGCAAGCAGGCTTAGCCTGTCCTGAAAGTGGCGGCCACACCAGTCACATGCCATAGCTCCAGTTCTAGAAGCTGATCCAAATTGGTCCAGACATGCTCAGGCACGTGGAGGGGTGACAAACTTATGCACGACGAAACAACTTAACGAAAACAACAACTTGCCAACAACGTGCGAATACCAGCATTCGGAAAGGTTCTTCACGGAAACACTTCTTACCCGCGCAAAAAGTCAGATGTCATCGGGCTTAAGACAAAGGCAAGGAGCAGAGTCAATGACAACAGCAGTTCGCACACTTGCAAACAGCTGCCGATGCCCTTGGTGACAATGGTGTCTGCTTCCTATCACGTCGCCTGCCTTCGCATGGTATATCCATCGTCACCCTCATTGTCATGACAAAAAACTTCCGAAATCTTCCGGATTTTGCTATTTCCATCGGCATCGTCACCGTCATCGCCATCATCCTGATCCTGGTCTTCATCCTTATCAGCATTGCTGCTCCTGACCATGGACAGGGTGCTGTAGCTACTGTAGACTGCGTTGAGTGCTCTTCAGTCCTTCAGTGCAAGCTCTAGAAGGAGTCGTCTGCAGCAAAGATGTAGTTTTTGCACGGGGATCCTTCCGTTTGGGCGATCCTGTGCAACTCCGAAAACAGCTTAATCACATGCCTGTGAGGAAAACTTCATACTGGCGCGATTTCAGGAGCTTCTTGCACATTGGCAACCGCGAAATCCGACTCCAAACGAGGCGGTTTGCATATACGAACAAGGGAAGTGTGGAGAGTTACGAACTGTAAGTGGACTGTGTAACTGTGTACTTTATTCAGATAGTGACAGGCAATTTTCGGCACGTGCCCACAAGAGCTTCAGCTGTGCCTTTTGGATGCCGTGTGTGAAAGGGGTCGCCGGGCCAGTGCTCGGACGGGACGATCTGGGTTGAGACCTCCTCTGCATAGTGGCGTTGATGCCTTGCCTGTCTCGCAGAAGTGCCTCGAGCCTGTGAAGGTCTGGCTATGCGTCAAGCCGCAACATGGAAATAGACACCGTTGTGAGTCCGGAGCTTTCTTCCGGAAACAATGCGTCTGGAAGAGTCTTGACGTGCGTGTGCGAGCTGTGCGAGCCTTTGCCAACCTGGCCTTCACCTCCGACTGCTCCTTGACTCCTTGACCTGCGAGCCTTCTCTACCGACGTGATCCTTTGACGTGGAGGTTTCAGCACAAAACGCTCCTGTCTCCCGGTTGTAGGGGGCCTGTACTGCAGCAAAGTATTCCTTCGCTAGGCTATTGAAGCGGCCATGTTGCTCCTCAAACCAGTTTGACAGCGATACCATGGTTGAGCCATCTTTGAACGATGGCACGTTGTGGAGCAGACAATTTGATCTCCAGAACTGCACATCACACTGCAAAGGCTTGGCTACAGGCCTGTGAATGGAGCTCGCGCTTGCCTTGTCCAGACCAACAACAGGAAGAGCAGTGTACAAACAGGCAAAGGTTGAATACCCCAAACCCCTAGAGGGGATGCTGAAACCGTAACTTACAAGTCGGGCCCCCCTGATTTGCGGCAATCCTCGGACGCCAGTTATGATAATTGCAAGCAAAAACCTTTTACAATTATGCGCCCCATCCCCCATTTTACATGTTTAAGGGGGTGGGGGTAGGTGAATGACGTTCCTCCTCTGCCTAGCCTTGGGGAATGCCTTCAGCAAAGGCTTCGGCAAAGCCTTCGTCTGAACTCGGCGAAGCCTCCACAGGCGCTTCCTGCAGATGTAAAAGATGTACACAATTGTGGACGTCAACATAATTCTCCACAGCCCCGACCACCGCACCGACCACTACCCCGACCACTGCGCCTGGTCCCAGCCAGGCAGTGCCATCGAAGAGAGCTGAACAGCTTGGCTTTGCCCTGTCAGAAGATTCGTCAAACGGCCGCCAACCTACAGCCACTTGCAGCCTCGCTGGCGCAAAACTCGGTAAGTGTCGAAGAAGCTGCATGCTCCTGACAGGCAGACTTTTCGAAACAATGCATTTGAGGGCGCCTGAGCTCAGGTTGGTGGCATGAGCGTTTTGAGCGTCCTTCAGCACCATCAGGGCTGACAGAGTGACAACGCAACTTCACCTTCCGTGTCCCGTTTGTGTTTCAAACTTTGGTTAAGAGTTAAGGTGTCACAACTGCGCTCAATGCGCATAATCGATCCGAGGCCAATGCTAGATCGTAGAACTGGCTCGCTCTGCTTACATGTCGGGTGGGCACACTGCCTCCTCAGATTATCGACTCGATGAGCTTGTGTCACATCAGAACAAAAACAGCACGCGAGCTCCCGCCTGCAGGAAGCACTAAAGCAGAGACCGGTGAAGTCTCTGCTGATCTCACATCCACGTGAGACACCTTTGGCAGATACTTTCCATGTCCCACATCAGTGTCCTCAGCGTCCTCAGCGTCCGCAGAATCCTCAGAATCCTCAGAGTCCTCGGAGTCGTCCGGCCTCCTTGCAAAGATAGGAGATGTGCGAGATGTATGAGATGTTCGAGATGGGAGAGATGCTGGAGATGACGGAGATGGCGGAGATGGCGGAGATACAGGTGTCCCACTGCTTTGTCCTTCAGCCTTCATCACCGTAAATGAGCCAGCCCCCAGGGATGCAGAAGTATCCAAAGGTTCATTTGGCACACTTTCAAATCTTTCACATGGCAGCCTATTGATCTCCTCGTCTTCGAGCTCTGCAATCCACTTACCATCCACCGGCTTTTCCTGTGGACCTTCATGAAGTCTTTGCTCTGCCTCCGGCTCTCCAGCCGTCTCTTTTGAAATAGGTGTTGAAGTTGGTGGCTGTTCCATTCTGATGGAAGTGACGCTGGATGCACAAGTTGCAGCTAAGGCAAGCTGTTCTTGAGGAGAGATCTCCTCATCGGCGCTTGCCGGACTGCAAGCCGGATCATGTGGCATGCCATGCTGTGCCATCTGTGCCATCTCTGGCATGGACCAGGCCTGCACCAAACACATCGCTAAATATCCTCATGCGCCACATTTCTCCCGGGTTTTTCAAGGTGAGGGCCTGGGGCATTTCGACAGCCGAGGCCTTCGCTTCGCGGCAAGCGGTCAACACATCCATGAGGTCCGCCTCGTCCTCACCCTGCCATCAGCTTCTCTTGTGCATGAACTCCAAAATGGCTCTTGTTCTGCCGCGCGCCGCGCCTCAGACTCCGAAAGACCTAAAACAGGCACCTGAGGCACCTGCGGCAAGAACCGACAAAAGAGCATAGCCGCATGGATACAACCAGTCATGGTCGCCTGCGTATCCTGAAGCACATCTCCTTTTGCATCGCCGGGTGCAAACACCTCGGCAAAAGAGAACACAGCCCGCGCCACCCACGCACAGAGGCAGAAAGAGAGAGAGAGAGACAGACAAACAAATGTTCTGACTTATTTTGATACTATCGCATACCCCAAAACAACCCTAATTTTGGCCGGTGCGGAAAAGAAAAACTACCCCAGAAATGAGCGAGATTTTTGCGAGTGTACTACAAAAGAATCCATCTCCCTCCAGGAATCCGGGATTCCGTTTGCAGAAACTGTACAAAACCAGCCAGGTAAGGAAGAAGTCCAGCAAGTCGAGGAACGAACAACAATCAGTGAAAATTTCCTTCGAATGGTTCCCAGCCTAACCAGGACACCCTGAAGTCAGAGCCTTGGCTTTTTGATTCCAAACTTTCAGTCCTTTAGCTTTGCCCTTCAAATTCGAGGCTTCAAGCCTTTGAGGGTTCGGGCTTCAGACAGGGTGGTATGGGCAGTTCTTATGTGTCGTCAAGATTAGCCTTTCAAACGGAAAGCCCTTACCGCCGAGCTGTTTGCAAAAAGCCTAGGCCTCGGCCAACATGTCAGATTGACTGAGTCATGGGCTGGAAAGTCCCAGGTGACCTCATCCGTTTCAGTGTTCCAGTAGTAGGCATCGTCCTGACATCTCTCTAGTCCAAGGCGTGCTTGCAAGAAACGAGTGGGTCCTCGTATGGGACCAGAACCTTAGCACATGGCAACAGACTTCAGTACAGATGCCAAGCTGGCTGAGAGGTTGGAGGGCAAGCCTGCCCACAATGTTTCTCATCACGGCAGGAAGCATTCGACCAGCAAAACTCAAAAGGTGCTAGAACTATCCCTTGGATTGCTGATGCAAACTGCAAAAGAGCGATGGCAACCACATGACAACAACGACACCAATGAACGGTTCTGATTGGAGCTACATGCTATTGGTGCAAAAGCGTGGGCTGCGCACCCATGGATGAGGCGGTGCAGGATGCTTGTCCGGTGTGACGGCCTCAAGACCAATGACCAACCAGCAGGAACCTAGCCTAAAGACATACCGTTTGCATACCGACCTCCTGAATGTGTCGTGAAGGCTGCCTGCTGGGAGAAATACTTCTGTCTTCTTGCCTTGGAGCGCTGTAGCCACCCGCACGATGCTTGTAGGAACCGGTGCCAAATCAGCTTGCGACTCTGTCGGTCCTGGTACGATCGGAACATCATGCTGAGTCCTTGAAGTCCTCAAGACGAAACAAAAGTTGCGACGCTGCAATTCCAAGAGGAAAGCTGAACTACAACATCCTTGGAGCGAGGTGCAGGAAGTACGCAGCTCTTTTGTGAAGCTCACACACAGGCCGTCGTGAAGCTGCAGACATCTTCATAGGCACCAGCTGGTAAGACACATCACCAGCATCTCAGAGAGCAAGGACTTGGTGCTGAATGAAACTCGGCCCAGCGTCGGGCTTTCGTTTCTGGGCACACGTCAAAGGCAAGGGACCTCGACCACTACCCTGGATTTCTGAATGTCAGGGCGCGCTAGGCTTATCACATCCTACGCTGATGGCGAATGCCCAGAATCGAGATGCCCTGACCTGACCGGGCTTCAATCTCGAGAATTAAGCACCAGCATCGACAGCTGAAAGTGATTCAAAGCAGCTCCGATCACTGATGTAGTCTGGCCTAGGTGGGAAGATAGCCACAGGACGGCCATGTGTGCAACATGAAGGCAATTTAAACATCTCTCCGCTGCTTGTGCACTCTGAGAGCCACCCAGACCAGACATTGCAACTATTTGCAACTAAACACAGCTCAATGCATCTGAACGAATCTGGACCCGCTGCTTTCGCAGCAGCGTCGCAGCATCGTCTACATTCGCTGCTGGACGGCTGCTTTCAGCTCGTCCACCTCGCGGCGGAGCTTCCGTATTTCCGCCATTGGCCCAAAGCCCTCAGCACCCTTCTTGATGCAGGGGATCTTGTCGGCGCAGGGGATGCAAGCACAGCATCCACACAAGCTCCAAATCTGTTGATCATCCTTACGCTCCCCCAAGGTTAGCCACCACCGGTGCTCCTCGTCCTCCATCTTCAAGCACGGAAAGCAGCAGCAGCATCCACACATAGGCATGGTGCAGCGGAATCCACAGCTTGGGTGCGGGAAGACGCAGCGGCAACCTCCCGTCGGGCAAGGGCATGGAATGCTGCACTTCGGGCATGGGCATGTCGGGCAGGCGCAGTCCTTGCAATTCAAGCACGGAGGCAAGAAGCAGCTGCAGTGCAAGCACGGCTTTGACGTGAAGAGTGGGCGCGGCAGGCACAGCCGCATGTTGCAGCAAGCACTGGTAAGGTGCTCCGGCTGCACGGGGGCTGCTTTCTCGGTCATTGCACCTGAAGATATGCCGAGAGAACAGAGGGCACTCTTTTCTCGGGCCGCGGGCGTCTTGAGCCAAAGCTCCGGAGGGACGGGGTCCGCAATTCTGAAACTCATGCGCTCGTGCTCCTGTGCTCAAGTGCGTACACACACACACACCAAAAAAATGAAAACAATATTCGACCCCCAACCCCCAGCAGCCGCCCGATCCGCGGGCCACCACACTTTGTCCCTTAGGTTTTTGGAGCCAGTTCCTTTCCCAAATAGCAAATCGCACCAGCGTCCCTGAGTGTGTTGGAAAAACCTTCCCAAGTACGAAATCGCAAGCACCGCGTCCGTTAGAAATCTTCGCCGCTGCGATGAAAAACAAATAGGCACTTTGCTTGCGATATAGTTTTTGGGAAGGTTGCTTGCAATTTGCTGTTTAAGAAGGGATTGCTTCAGAAACTCTAGGGGACACGGCGTTTGTGAATTTGGATTTGGGAAGGGACAGTTCCCAAAAGTCAAGGGGACAGGGTGCTTGCGATTTGATATTTGGGAAGGGATTGATTCAATGACTCAGAGGGGCACGGTGCTTGCGACTTCCTATTTAGGAAGGGAAAAGCTGCAACAAGAGACCAAGGCACGGACACTAGGCACTTCCTTTCTCTTGCCTCTCTAGCTCTAGCCACTCGAGCTCTTCTCTCTCTCTCTGTTTCTCTTTTCCTTGCTTTTCCCTCCCTCTTCGCTTCTTTCTTGGAGTGGTGTGGTAACACCAGCTTCCAAATAAACATAAATGGACCCTGGCCACCCACAGAGCGGCAAGGGGGAGCGGGCTGGTGGCAGCCTTGGGCCATTTTTGCCTCCCCACCCCCCCCCCAAAAAAAAAAAAAAAAACTAGGTTTCGTATGCTTCTTGCAGTTCTGTTTGGACGAGTATCATATACGACCTTATGCACTTGTGAGTTTTGCGGATACTTTGAATATGGGAATTTTCCTTGAGAAATTATCACCATGTTGGGAGACCTGTCGGCAACATTGATGGAAAAGCAAGACGCTTGCGAGCAATTACTAGCAACCTCTTGGAAGGTCACAGGAAATAGTGAGAGGAGATTTGCTCACAGTCTCGCGGCCCCGGGACTTGCGGTCAATGATTCGTCTTCTTTGTGTATCTTTCTTTTCCCTCTTTCTTCCTTACCTCGATTTCGCCCATTCTCTGTCACTTTCTCACAGAAGCTTTCGCCCTTTCCCTCTCATCGTGCCATGCCCTACCCTTGCCTCCTGCTAAATGAATGAGCAAGAGAAGAATAAGAGAGAAAGAGAGGAAAGGGAGGAAGCAGGTGGGGAAAAGGACACAGCGATTCTCTCCATCTAGCACCGGATTCCGGTCTCTTTCCCTTTCGTTTACTCTCTTTCTCTCTGGCTCTGTCGCTCTATTGAAGGAAAACGGGGAAGCAAACATGCGTTGAAGACTGCTGCAAAACTCCTTGGCGTCTCCTCGAGCGGTTCCCCTGGGCTCTCACCGAGCCCAACCACATCTTCAAACCTTTCTCGGCTCTTCTTTGCTTCGCCTTACCAAACAAACTACAGCCCCACAAACTCTCTCACCAGCGCTCTACATGTGGAGCTCACTGTCCAATCAAGCCTTGCGAAGGGCCAAGCGCGTTGTTGCCGCTGGGGAAATCTGCATGGAACAACAGTGTCGTATCATGGTCGATGATTGCAGTGTCTCAGGCTCTCGCTGTGCAGTTCTGTGGGCACATCTGGCTTTGGACGTTGCCCTTCAGGGTGCACCTTGCACGTACACAAGCTTTACTCTAAAAAGCGTTCCCACCAACCTCTAGCACACATAGAGAATCCTGCAGCGGTCTGGGAGAAAGTTAAGGTGCAGCATGCCAGCACTCGGACAACCCTTGCTTTTGGACAAATCCCACGCCACCTTTGGTAGCAGGTATTTCGAGGGACACTTCAGAATGGCCACATGTGTTCAAGCACACTTCGGCGAGTTAGCCCTCAGTAGCCGGAACCTGTCGGAGTAGCAAGGCCCTGCTATGTACTAAAGTTCCAGGTGAGGTAGAAAGCCGGGGGGCACCATCAACAATCCCACTCATTTCGCTGTTGTGGGACAAGGCCCACTTGCACAGATGCAACCGCATGCAATGCACAATGACTAGAATGAGGCTCGAACTGCTGCTGATTCCCTTGCTCGGCTAGTCTGGCAACACGTCGTGATTCCAGCAGGCTTCAACAAGATGAAGCACGGCACATGTGCCTTGTTTCTTAAGGAATGCGTCAGCCGCTTCACGGCCGATGCTGCTCCACCCATGTGCAGGCAGAAGGAGCCTCGGCCCCCAAGCTTGGCACATTAGCTACTTCAAAAGTTCACAATAGTGACTAAATGTGACTAATAGTGACATATGACATATTTGTACTGCAAGCGAAGGCTCGAGCAGGACGCTCCGCACGATGGCAATCATGAGGGATCTGTTGAAAAGTGTGGATCCGCTGCTGTCTTGTGTCGGTTGGCACTTGCTGAATCTGAAGAAACATAAATGCTACGAGTGTAGCCCTCTCCTGAACATATATGACCACTACGGCTTGAGCTCGCCAATGATGCGCACATGTGTGCCACATCCTTTGCTGTCAAGGTTGGGCAGCGAAAGGGGGATCATCGCCGCTAAATCACAGGTTTGCCTGCTAAAGCAGAAAAGAAGTTAAGAAACTTACTGGTCGGCCGTAGCAGCCCTAGCAGCCCTAGCAGCCCTAGCATGGATGTCAAATTCTGCGGATAAGTGTGTCACTTCCAGGTTATGGAACTGACAGATGATCTTCAAGAGCTGCGCAAATTATGCAGAAATACATGCAGCAAATTGCAGCACTACAGCAGCTTTTTCTCAGCCAGCACCGACGGCAGTCCGAGGTCGTCTCAGGACTTGGCCGGCACAAGCATCCTGACGATACAGAAAATACAAACGATACAAACACTTGTCAGCGTGCACTTTAAAAAAACAGATATATATATATATATATGTATGGTACCCCCCCCCCAAGTACCTAGGTCTCATTTTCTTCCCTGTCTCAGGTACCGGCCTCAGATGACTTGCCTCTTGTAGGGTTTAGGGTTTAGGAGTGAAAGTGCTGTACTGTCCCTAAAAAACCAATCCCAGAAGCCGAAAGTGCTGTACTGTCCCTAAAAAACCTAAAAAACCAATTCTGGAGGCCTATCAAGACAGGCCCTCCTCAAAAGATTTGTTTTTTAGGGACAGTACGGCACTTCGAAGGCCTGAGGTGCTGAAAGTGCTGTACTGTCCCTAAAAAACAAATCTTTTCGTGAGGGTCTACCTGTATAGGCCTCCAGAATTGGTTTTTTAGGTTTTTTAGGGACAGTACGGCACTTTCTGCTTCTGGGATTGGTTTTTTAGGGACAGTGCGGCACTTTGAAGGCCTGAGGTGCTGAAAGTGCTGTACTGTCCCTAAAAAACCAATCTTTTCGTGAGGGTCTACCTGTATAGGCCTCCAGAATTGGTTTTTTAGGTTTTTTAGGGACAGTACGGCACTTTATGTTTATGGGATTGGTTTTTTAGGGACAGTGCGGCACTTTGAAGGCCTGAGGTGCTGAAAGTGCTGTACTGTCCCTAAAAAACCAATCTTTTCGTGAGGGTCTACCTGTATAGGCCTCCAGAATTGGTTTTTTAGGTTTTTTAGGGACAGTACGGCACTTTATGTTTATGGGATTGGTTTTTTAGGGACAGTACAGCACTTTGAGGGTTTGAGGTGCTGAAAGTGCTGTGCTGTCCCTAAAAAAACCAATCTTTTGAAGAGGGGCTGCCTGTACAGGTCCCCAGAATTGGTTTTTTAGGCTTTTTAGGGACAGTACAGCGTTTTCCGTTTCTGGGATTGCTTTGTTAGGGACAGTACGGCACTTTCAGCCCTTCAGATCCCCAAAGTGCTGTACTGTCCTTAAAAAACCAATCTTTTCGTGACGGCCTGCCTTGTACTTATAGGCCTCCAGAATTGGTTTTTGTTTATTCAGAAAGCACAGTTCAGCAGCAATAAAGCTAATTCAACAATTTGTTAAAAACTGTGATGTAAGTAACATTTTATCTAATCGATGTAATGCCTAAATCACGCGACGAGGTCAAGTTTCCTGATAAGTAGGCTTTAATTAATCTAATTTGCTTTACAACTGTCATTCATTTAGTCTGGTTGAGGTTGAAGTAAAAAAAGGATAGACATGTAGTTAGTTGAATGCTATCTACCTTTTAGAATAAGAAACTACATGTAGTTTTTTCTTGGGAAGGCCTATTAAAGTATTCGTTTAAAGTTATTAATCTAGTCAGGCTGAACCAATTGAATTGTTGGATCGTGGCTTGTTTCATTTAAATTATCGAATTCGTTTAGTTAAGGGTATACTAATTAGTTTCATTCATTTGCTTCACCTTTAAGTGAACTAAATCCACAATTGAAATGATTTTGGCTACATTAATATCAGCAAACAAAAGGCCGTAGTTACTGTTCTTAGTAAGTTTAGTTCATTGAATTCCTTTAGTTCATTATTGGTCTACGAACTCAATTTATTTGCTTAACCCTTCAGAAGACTAATCAAATTGTTGGAAAGACTTTACGTATGTTATTTTCCAGAAACGAAAAACTTTACTTAAATTGAGTACTGTGCTTGTTCACGAAAAGAAGAAGGAACATGTTTTAGCTCATTCAATGAATGCTTAAGTGAAGCCATTAGGTCAGGTTCCCTATTACGCATTATGTTTTAATTAATGTAGTGTATGAACAAGTTTAATTACAGGCCTGTCTTTTCTAGCACAGAAGCAAAAACACCTTCAGAAGACTAATCAAACTGTTGGAAAGACTGTACGTATGTTATTTTCCAGAAACGAAAAACTTTAGTTAAATTAAGTACTGTGCTTGTTCACGAAAAGAAGAAGGAACATGTTTTAGCTCATTCAATGAATGCTTAAGTGAAGCCACTAGGTCAGGTTCCCTATTACGCATTATGTTTTAATTAATGTAGTGTATGAACAAGTTTAATTACAGGCCTGTCTTTTCTATTACAGAAGCAAAAACACGTGTAACATGATTCCGTCGCACGCTGTGTTGCACTGCTTGCTGCGTCTGTCGCCTATGTGTTGGGCAGTATCCTCCATTCCGTTCATGCGATTCAAAAAACACGTTTTTTAGTAAATCCTACGAAAAACACACTCTTTTTTAAGTAAAACCTAGGCGCTACGGGGGGGGGTAGCATATATATATATATATATACTTTGATCTTGCAGCCACGAGTCGCAAAGACCGCAGTAAATCCGTGTAAAGCGGTCTTCCGCACCTCCCAGTGTCTTTCCCAGACCAACGACCGTGGAACAACGCATAGATGCGGACTCAGAGCCTCCGAGCGTTCGCTCAACTCCGAGGCCGGCAGCACCAGTCCTGGCCTGGGATGCGCTTGCTTGCGCTTGCTTGCGCTTGCTTGCACTTTGCGCAGCGCCGGGTCGGGGCCGAGTCGGGGCCGAACCAGTCCGGGGCCGAGTCGGGCCGAGATGGAGTAGACAAAAAAGATGGAAAAAATCCCCACGCCGTGTGCCCAAACAAAGCGGGGATGCGTCGATTGCGTTGGACTCAGTTGGATTCGGCGAGGACTAGGAAGACGACGCGCCAATCTCTCCGTTGCAGAAAAAGCCACTCACGCGCCTCAGCCATTGCAAGAACAGTACACAACAAAGCTACAACGCGCACGGCAAACCCCACGCGCCAAACTGCCAAACCTGTGAGGTACGAGCTGTCCCAGTTCCTCTCCCAGAGCTTCTTGCAGTGCCCGTGCATCAACATGCCGCTCTCCGTACAAGCCCTTGTCAGGTGAACGAAGCTGAGCGCATGCCACAACAGAGTGCATGTCCAAGTCCAATCCAGCCTCGCCCCTTCCGTTGCAGGTGAAAAGCAGAGAACCTATAGGTTCCTGCACGCAGATACAAACACGCTACATCAGAAACAGGTCCGACCTTCTCCCGCCTTGCTCCCGCTGAATGCTCGCTCCAATCTCAGCTATGTAGCAGGACCCCATGACATGTATACACCATTATACACCGAGTCAAAATGTAAGCCGTGTGCCGGTATCTCTTCAGCATGAGCTTCAAGTCGCTCTGTGCGGAGTCTTTGTCTCGCACATGGAAGCGCAGCGGCTGGCCCTTCAAGTCACAATGCAACTCGACTCAGTCCAATTCTCCAATGGTCAGTATCGGCTTTGGAAACTACAACAGGATTTGGAAGCTAGGCATAATTCTGGAGACTTGAAAACGCAGCTTCTAACTTAGAACTGGAAAGCGTCGATTCGGGAAACTAGAAAACACGGATTGGGAAACTGCGACTTCGTGAAACTGCAAACCACTGGCTGAGAAACTTGGAGATCGCGGAATCGGAATCGATGACTCGAAAAATCAAAGACGGGTTTGCTTTTAGGTCCCGGCTCTCCGTAGATAACGGGAATCCAAGGGGTGGAACCGAGTGCTGTGAAAGGGAGATACAGGGAGTGAGGCCAGCGAAGACCAGGTAAGAGGGACGCATGGGCCATGCACGGGACGCCGTATGTGATCCCCACTACCCCGCCCACCGCCCCCGCTCCCAAACCCTCCCAACCCCCTTTCCTGGCAGCACGAACGTGCTCATTCATGTGATGCAGTGGCCGGAGAGGCGCGCATCCGTTTCCTAAAAGCATACATACACCTGGATACACCTGGAAACATCCTGCGACACCGCTCTGAGGCTCTTGTTCCTTTCTGCGACGTGGCCTCGGAGATGCCAGGACCAAGGACAAAGCTTCCATCTTCGATCACCTCGAACTTTTCAGCTACAATCAGCTGATAAGGCAATGCATGATGAAGCCAAACCTGTGATATGCCACGGATGAGCCAATCTCCATCATCAACCTTGCCCAAAAGAAGGTTTTCCAAGTTTCTGCAAGTATATTCAAGAACATTCTGGAACCCGCTGAGGGTGATGCTGAAGTTTCGCTCTCGCCCTGGCCTTGATACTCGCTGCTACTCACAACAAGCTGAATTAACAGCCGAGAACAGTCCACTACAAAGGCGTGCACGGCCCAGCCCCACAACCAAGTTCGTCTGCATCTTGGCCTGAAGATCCTCTGCAAATAGCTCAAATCTTGTTGTAAAGCGACCCCTGTCAAATAATCAGGCGCCGCCTTGCTTACAGCACCGAAGATGAGCATCAACGCTTCCTTTGCCGGCCTCGCTCATGAAACTCTGCTGGAATCAATCGACATAGCTTCTGTTGACACCATTGCCCCTGCCTTCCTCCAATGCCCACGCACACAGGGCCCGAAACATTGGTTATCCGAACCTCAGTCTATGGCAAGGTCTATGGCATACCACACTGGGTCAAGTGCACGGAAGATTTGTAACTGTATGTTAGTACTGGGATACATTCATCAGCCAGAGGACCAAAGCCCCAGTTACATGTGAGAGTACTCTCACTTCGGAGAGAAGTAAATTCAGAGGTGGATGTGAAGAAAGTGATATATACCGCACAATATGACATGGAATGCATACAAACGGATGCTTCCATGACATCCTATGTATGTAAAGCGAGCAATCACCTCTGCTGACATGCGACCACATGCGACCACATTCCTCTACAAACGAACCTGAACCCACGCCGCTTGACCCCCGAGCCCAATCACGACGGCCGATGGCACTTGCTGATTTGCCAAAGGGACAGAGGAAGAAGGAGACAAAAGCAGACCCAGGTCCAGCGAAGTGCTTCTGTATCTTCTGTCGCGAGAATCTGGACGGCAGTTCATGTGTCAGTGAAATCCGGTGCAATGGGCTGAAGTGCACCATGCACCCACCCGTCGCGCAAACAACGCCCGCAGTGGAGAACTACGTCCAGTTGCTGCCGCACTGCCCAAGCGCCACTTGTGCATGATCGAACTTGAAATGCGGGTGTGTAGCCCGGGTGTATCACATGTGTCGGCTAGGTGGGCCAGGCAGCCAATCACAGCCAGTGGACGCATCAGAAGCTTAGCTGCAGACTGCGGGTCCCACCCCCAAGCAGCCCTGACACACCACTGTATGAACCTCAAAGGATGCTTTGCTACGCATGGGCCAGCGTGTGAATCGATGAACTCAGTTGGGCACATCCATCTGCGTGAGGAGAAGCCTGCACATCATGACGTGATGTGGCTCTTGGTGTAGGTCAAATGTGAAGAAGTCGAGAGCCCAGCCCGCAGACCCCCTGGCTCAGAAGCCGGGCTTTATTGCCTATCAAGGTTTGCCCCTTCGTTGCGCCACTTCGCTGAAGGATTGACATTGACAAAACGGTCATGGAACAGCCTTTAGAGCAAATGGCCATAGAAGGCATGAAAGAGGACCGTCCCTGCGTTCCCACCTCTCAGCATTTAGGCTGACACCGTGACACAAGTGAAAGCAATGTGAAATGTAAAGATGTTCAAGATGTTCAACTCCAAGAAGGTCCTGCAGCGCAGCAGTGATGCCACCAGCTTTGGGGACCTCAAAGGACCCACCTGACACACCTTTGACACGCCTTTGACACACCTTTGACACACCTTTGACACACCTTTGAACACGCTCGCAGATCGTGCAAAAGGCACCTTGGGGAAGCTTTCGTCCAAACTTTGCCTCAACAACCAAATCTTTGCTGAAACGTCCCATGCATTGCTCTTGTGAGGCAAAGGCATGATGTCCTCAATTGGTCCAAACGGGTCTGCAAGCAGAATCATGGAGCGCACCTCTCCACTATCAGCCTCAGCTACTTTGTATGCATAGGCACATGTGTCGTACGACTTCTGACGACCAGCACAGTTACCGTGCTGCGACTACGACGCCCAAGGCTCGCAAGTTCCAGGAAAGGGCAACTTTTGAAAATCCGCTTTAGAACTTGCTGCGCCTCTTGGACTCAAGCCCTCCAGAACCTGCTTTGGAACAGCCCCAAAAACTTCCCATCCATCCCTGATCCCTCCCACCTAGCCGGGCCTAGCCCGTCACACCACCTCCTTTCTCATTGCAAAAAAGATTGCAAATGGTTTTGGGATCCTTGCTGCACGTCAATGCGGAAACACTTCGAATCATGGACGGACTGCCCAAGGGTGCCGTGCTTGCAAATAGCCACCGTTCAAGCTGAGGCGATGGCCATCCGGTTTATGAGTGCCAAATCTCCCTCCGCCTTTCTCATGACAGCATGGCAGCAGAAAGAAAATGACACACACACACACACCAAAATAGCAAATCAACACGCATAAGTGGGCGGCATTTGCTCCGAGGAAGAAAGGCACAGCCTTTCTGAAAAAAAAGATCGATCGATCATTGCCACTGGCCGAGGTGCAACACGGCTTCAGGCCCTGGCACCAGAGCTTCGAACCACAGCCACGGATAGCACAAAGCCAGCTTCAACCTGCATCGAAACACGAAACGGAAGCCTGAAATGGCCTGAGGACTCCTACGTCCAGTCCAACTCAAAAGCTTGCCTCGCAAGGCTTCCGCTGGCCTCCCACATATTCCTCACAACTTCTCTATGAGATTGTTAAGCTTTTGATATTTGTTGAAGCTTTGTGCAGAATGTTTGTGGCGATTCGCCGCTCAGATCCTGGCAGAAGCCATGTGACCTGAAAAAGCGTAAATTCTATCGCAATGAAGCAATACAACACAAGAAACAAAGTGTGATTCAAATGTACATCGATACATGCACGGCCTGTCGTTTGGCCAATGGCACCTGGACATGCACCGCCAACCTGCCCCACGACTCCACGACTCGAGTTGCACAAATTGGGCTCCCACTGGTATTGCCGATATTGCTCTTCAATGTAGGATGCGGGCTACGTGCTCGACGTCCAACCTATCACTCCATGATCCCACATTGTTGCGAGACTCACTTGTATCACGTGATGGTGTCATCTGATTTCAAATGTCACTGAGAGCCAAGCCTTTCCTGGATTGATTCCAGCCTGATAACAACACTGTCAAAAAAAATGTGTGATCTTGTCTGACGTGTTTACCATGACTGGGCATCTGACACAGGTGCCATGCCTTGAGCTTGATCGACCTAAGGCAATTGAACTGCAGAGCAGATGGTGCGAGGTGGGAATGATGCCACTCGAAACGAATACCTAGGCCCTGCAGGCCACAATTTGTGCGGCGGTAAACAGTAGCACGCCTTCTGCAAGCTTTGCAAAAAACACAGGCTCCACAAGGGTGTGAGGACAACACATAGAGCTCGCTGACGAAGACATAAGCCGCTTCAAAGCCAGTGCCAGCCTTTTTGACTTTGAGAAAGCAAACAAATACTGTTTTGTTCTCAGCTCTGCGGGCGCGAAACTTCAGCTGCCACCTGCCAGACACGCCGCACACCTGCTTGCAACGAATCAGCCAGGCCGCAGGGCCTCTTCCACTGCGTCCTCCCACCGTGGTGCCATTGAGCAACATGAAATGAAATCTGCCTGAACCTTAGCAAAGCATGGTGCAATGGTGCACTGCAACAACTGTGAACTACTGAGATAATCGTTTTGAACTTTGACTTCAAGCGTGCCTCTGTCTCGACTGCTCGGACAGCAGTCTTGCAGGTGCGTCTGCAACAACGCACAGGGATCACAGGCGCTGCAAAACCGCAATGTTTATGGCAAGCACAATTTTGGCACGCCTTTGACAACGTCGGAGTTGCCAAAAACGCCAAAGTGCAAACGTCGCCGATGAGCATGCCACAATATTTGGCTGTTGCGCCTCGACTGCGAGCGACTCCAAGCTATCCCTGCGGAATTGCAGCAATGAGTTCTGGGCAATGGACACGAAAAACACCCTTCCGGGTTGCAATTTTGTCGGCAGCACCCTGGGTTCAGAATGTGATCAGTACTTGCGCAACTGTTTTTTCCAGCCTGCGCCCCACATGCAAGTGCAATTTGTGTGTTGCCGAAAGCAGTAAACGAACACCACATGGATCAACTGCTACGGAAAGAGCAAGACTTCTTGGTTACAACTGCACAACAGCTAACACTTCAACTCTGGGATTGGGCTTGCAACCAAATGCACAGGCTTCCGTCCGCAACTCTGCCAATTCTTCCGTGAGATGGACCTAACTTGTCCACGAGGTCATTTTTCCGAGCAAAAAAACAACTGAGTTTCGGACCTCAACGGTGATTCAAGCACTGCTGTCGCTGAAAATGTTGCCTCAACATCAACCGAATTGCATCCGCATTCAACAGACCAACAAATTCGCGGACGCTGGCAAATCTCACATAGCTGAGTAGCGAGAGATGTCATGGCAACTACAGGCGACGCTCCGGACTGCCACAGAATGATGAGTAGCGTTGAAAGCTTTTGGGACTTGACCTTGGGTGCATTAAAGATCACAAAAACAATATCTCGAAAGCCTGACATTCTTGATTCTTCACGCTGCTTTAACGAAGTAACATGAGCCAACTGCGCGATTCATACGGTGAAACAACAGCCACGAATGAAAACCACACACATCCTCAAATTACCTCAAATTGATAACGTTGTTGTGGCAAAAGCTCACCGAAATGAAAAGGACATGCATCAACAATACTTTGTTGGTGAGTTGGGAATGCCCAAAGTTCAGCGGGGCGAACTTAGGGGAGAGTTTACGGGAGGCTTCAGGTCAGCTGGGACGAGGGTTTTCGGGAAAGGTTTGGGGTTTCAAAGGAAGGGTTTCGAAAGCGGGGTTCCAAAAGAGGGTTTCAAAAGAGGGGTTTCAACAAGAAGAGCGAGTTTGACATTCAAATCTACCGGGTTTTGAATGTCAAGATTCCATGTTGAATGCGCGGTTGCATATGGGAAACGCGCGTGTTATTTATATTGAAATGAATATTCCTCCGGCTCCTTCCGTTCAGTTTGTGGAACGTTGCAGCAAACAATGCAACCTTTACACGAGAACGGTGCTGTGCTGTAAACAAGATTTGTGGCAACGTTTCCTATTTGAATCATTGTCCCGTGCTTTTGCCATGCGATGAGACCTTCAAGCCGACTTGCCGAAACGTCTGCGCTGCACGGTGACAAATGCTTTGTGCCCAAAAAATGAAACACGAACCCAAAGCAACCTCAATTGCAAACAGATGACCGCACTTCTGCAAACATCGCACTACGAATGTGCTGTTTACTCTCGAACACACAGCATTCGGTTGCACGAGAAGATGCATCAGGTAACGTTCTACCCGCATGGCCTAAGGAATGCACGGGTCGAAGGAGGGAGTGGTGGGTGTTCGCCTCGTGCATGCCAAAAGCGAACTTGCCGGGCTGCACAACACACTGCCACCAAGTGCAAGCGCTAAGACACAAAAACAATCGGAATGAATTCGTTTGTGAACAACATGTGTTCGCACAACCCTCGTCCCCTAGGTCATGTGCCGCTTCCGCGTGCAAATAAACAAATAAATATATATCACACACACACACACACACACACACACACACACACACACACACACACACACGTGAGAGGACTTGGGTTTGGAATTGGGGCCTGTGATTTTGTACAGAACACACATATTTCCAACTCACGTTTGGGCCTCGGTCGCAGGCCCTTGCTGTGCAAGTAGGTAATGTCAACCAACCAGTTTGACCAACGCAAGACCTATATCGCCCAGCGCAGCTTCTGCCGTCAAGGGTTTGCTCTGACTTTCTGGGTCATCAGGCGTGGTCAAAAAAAGGTTTTCCTTGCTCTATGGGTCCTTCTGGGTCAGATGTAAAAATCAATTTCATGCACTCATGTCTTACCCCAAGCAGATGTTACAGCCATCCAAGCGTATGAGTCGTCCGAAGAACTCCATCTGCCCAACTTCGTGCAATCTGCCCGTCACTTTTACGTTCAAAACCGCACTTAAAGCGTTGCGGTCATACTCGAACCCGCCCTTCGTGGTATGTCTCGCCGTTTTCCAAACAGAAAGTGTTTCGAAGCTCCACCACCATGGGCTCCTGTACTACTACTGCTACTACTACTACTACTACTACTACTACTACTACTACTACTACTACTACTACTACTACTACTACTACTACTACTACTACTACTACTACTACTACTACTACTACGACGACGACGACGACGACGACGACGACGACTACGACACGACTAACTACTACTGCTACTCTACTACTACTACTACTACTACTACTACTACTACTACTACTACTACTACTACTACTACTACTACTACTACTACTACTACTACTACTACTACTACTACTACTACTACTACTACTACTACTACTACTACTACTACTACTACTACTACTACTACTACTACTACTACTACTACTACTACTACTACTACTACTACTACTACTACTACTACTACTACTACTACTACTACTACTACTACTACTACTACTACTACTACTACTACTACTACTACTACTACTACTACTACTACTACTACTACTACTACTACTACTACTACTACTACTACTACTACTACTACTACTACTACTACTACTACTACTACTACTACTACTACTACTACTACTACTACTACTACTACTACTACTACTACTACTACTACTACTACTACTACTACTACTACTACTACTACTACTACTACTACTCTATTGAACGCTGAGCGAGCGGGCTTTGCTCATAGCGGGCGATTCTGAAACTTCGGGAGGCGCCATGCCCTTGGCTTGCCCCGGACGTGCCGTTGCCAGCTCCGTCCTTTGGACCCGCCTAGCCAAGGACTAAACAACACAGACAACAAGACCCAACACGTACTTAAGCGTTGGAGCGGGGGGACTGCACTGCGATAAACGCAGCTACCTACCTCATCCCTTTGAAGAGCAATGGACGAACCTAAAGTTCCTAGGCCCAGGCTGCTACCTCTGCCACGAACGTACGAAAACAAGAAAAGAACACAAGGCAAGCGCATCCTTGGAATCAGACTTGCCGACGCCTCAGACTGCTTGAGCTGGCAACTGTGTTGCGGCAGCGGCATATCGCTCATCAGAAAGTCTGTGCCCAGCCGTGGCAGCCGTGTCGCGGAGCCGTACCATAGTGCAGAAACTGCTAGAGGGCGAACCTGCTCCTCGCCTCAAGAGCGAGTTCCGGCTCTCGCACCCCGCTGCAAGACGAGGCGTTGGTGACATGTCGAGGCCAGCATCACCCTCAAGCAGCCCTGCACATGTGGCTGGTCGTACTTCAGAACTGTGGTTGCAGTGTCCCAACCTGAAAATCTTAACGCATCAGTTTGAGAGGTCTACCCACTGCTTCTGCTTGCCACAGCGCAGAAGGGCGGGCGCCCTCCTGGCCGGGCAGTAAGACTGCAGGCAAGGTGCCCAAGATGCCGCAGGTTCTTATCAGGTCAGGTCCCTATTGCAGCACAGACCACTGTGGGTCTTGCGCCAGGCGTCCGGAGCAAGGTTCGGGGGGGGGGGGTTCGAACCTGGGTTCAACCCAGGTTCGAACTCCCGGCCCTCGGGGGGGGGGGGGGGGGGGGGGGGGGGGGGGGGGAACAACAACATCGAGAACCTGGGTTCAATTTTTTTTCCGAGTTGAGCTTGGTTTGTGAGTCCACCGTCTTGGTGTTTGGGACCGGAGTCCGTACTGCTAAGTACCACTACACTATCTTGAGCAGCAGAGGCTATCTGTACAGGTAAAGCCTTCTGCTACTAGTGCCACTACTGAGGGTGGGACCTCAAGCCTATGAGGTCATTGCCTCAGCCTCTCACTAGAGGGTGGCACCTCTCGCTGCTGCTAAGCTCCACCGAGCCCCACCAATCGCTCCTCTCCCCAGTACTGAGTGAGAGGGTAGCCCCTATCTGTGGGTGCGGATTGCCTCATGTCCGCTTGCAAACTACCCTTCTCCCTTTCCTGTCAGTAAGAGGGCATCCCTCCTGGTGCACAGCAAGGCATATACATTCTGCACTCAGAACCTGCGACCCCTCGGCCACAGGCACCAATTACCTGTACAAATTGGTTTGGCCCAGCTACAGGGTTGTCCGCCTGCTTCAGCTGAGAGGAAAGAACTGCCGTAACTGCTCAGCCTGCAGCCCTGTGGGCCCTGGGCAGTGAAGCCCGCCACTTCACAGCCCGAGGATGCCACCTCCACACTCCTGGCGTCTGGCACTCCAGGACACTGTGTGGAGGGTTCCAGAAAGCACCTCCTGAAAACTACCCTGTGCGAGGGTGGATGGGACCACCTGGACAAGGCTTATGTCTACAGGCTTGGGGACACTGCACCCCTCAACTTGGTATATTTGGCGCAGGGTCGACGCCTCCCCTCAACAAGGCGCGGGGACCACGCTTTCCCCTCAATTCCCCCATGCACGAAGTGCACTGGCGCGGGGAAACACGCCAGGCAGAAGCCAAACCCATAAACATAAACCTCAGGCAGCGCCTAAGGCGGAATCTTGCCTCTGGGAGCTATCCCACTCTGAAGCACTGCCGCCAGTGTGGATTTACTGTAGATGAGTCCTAGGCAAGGCCAAGGTGGACAAACTAAAGCTCCTGACACTAAGCTTGGTAGGCCTGGGCATACCCCAGCATGACAAAGGTCAGGAGGGCCTTATACCACTCATCTCAAAGAGGATAAAACCTCTGGCTGTGTGAGTCACGAAAGAGCCCGCCAGATCTATCTCACACTTCAAGCCAATGTTGAACTGGTTAGCAGCCAGTGTAGGCGATAGCCCGGGTCCCTTTAAGGGGAGAGGGCAAAGGGCCAAAGCCTTTAAGCACCCTCTCAAGTTCCCCCTAAGCCTCCCCTTAAGTTTTCCCTTAAGACTTTCTTAAGCCTCCCAAAAGCCTCTTCTGAACCCCCCCTGAAGCCTTCCCCCCTTTAAACCCGCTTCAAGCCTCCCCTTAAGTTTTCCCGTAAGCCCCCCCTTAAGCCCCCCCTAAGCCTCTCCTTAAGCTCCTACCTTTAAGCCACCTTTAAGGCTCTTTGAAACCCCTCTCCAACCTCTACTCTTCTGCTTTCGAACGATGAAAGCAAGAAAGGAAAAGGTGGATAAACTAGTTCGGTGCTTCTCTGACGTGCAATTGAGGGGGGGGCTGCCCCCCCCAAAAAAGAGTCGAGGGGGGTAGAATTTAAAATACATTCCCTTCTCCTTTCTCTTCTGAGTTTTCGAAGAATGAAATACGAAAAACAAAAGAATATTCGAGGGGGGTGGAATTTAGAATAAATTCTCTTCTCTGATTTTAAGGAAATACAAACAACAAAAAAGGTCGCGGGGGGTGGAATTTAGAATACATTCCCTTGTCTCTTCTTTCTGCCTCCCACGCGACATTCTCGCTTCTCCCTTCCTCCCGCTCCCTCGTCTGTGATTTAAAATGAAGTGCTTCGAGAAACCGAACAGTCTCGTCTTTACTTCTCTGATTTTTCGAATAAAAAAAACAAAAAACAAAACAAGATTCGAGGGGGGTGGAATTTAGAAAAAATCCCTTCTCTCTTCTCCTCTGATTTCTCGAAGAATGAGATACAAAAAACAAAAAAGATTCGACGGGGGGTGGAATTTAGAACACATTCCCTTCTCTCTTCTCCCTTCCTCCCACTCTACATTCTCTCTTCTGCCTTCCTCCAACTGCCTCGTCTCTATATAATTCAAAATAAAGTTCCTTCTGTCTTCTCCCCTCCGTCCCACTTTACAACAAGTAAATGGGGGGGGCTGCGCCCCCCCCAACCCCCCCGCTCTTTACTTCTAGAAACGAAAACAATCTCGTTTCGACTCCTCTGAGTTTTGAACAATGAAATACAAAAACAAAACAAGATTTGAGGGGGGTGGAATTTAGACGAAAGTCCTTTCTCTCTTCTCTTCTCTTTTCAAGTCACAACAGGCAAAATGGGGGGGGCTGCGCCCCCCCCCCAACCCCCCCGCTCTTTACTTTTAGAAACAACAACTGTCTCGTCTCTACTCCTCTGATTTTCGAATAAGGAAAGACCAAAAACAAAAGAAGATTCGAGGGAGGTAGAATTTAGAATAAATTCCCTTCTCCCTTCTCCTCTGAGTTTTCGAAGAATGAACTACGAAAAACAAAAAAATATTCAAGGGGAGTGGAATTTAGAACAAATCCTCTTCTCTCTTCTCCTCCCAGGTTCAACCCAGGTTCGAGCCTGGCTCAACGCAGACTAAACCGGCGGGCTTAAGCCCTCTTTAAGCCTGCCTTTAACCCCTCCTGAAGCCGCCCCTCAAAGGGGTCCCTGCAAAGAGGGTCCCTTTAAGGGGAGAGGGCAAAGGGCCAAAGCCTTTAAGCACCCTCTCAAGTTCCCCCTAAGCCTCCCCTTAAGTTTTCCCTTAAGACTTTCTTAAGCCTCCCAAAAGCCTCTTCTGAACCCCCCCTGAAGCCTTCCCCCCTTTAAACCCGCTTCAAGCCTCCCCTTAAGTTTTCCCGTAAGCCCCCCCTTAAGCCCCCCCTAAGCCTCTCCTTAAGCTCCTACCTTTAAGCCACCTTTAAGGCTCTTTGAAACCCCTCTCCAACCTCTACTCTTCTGCTTTCGAACGATGAAAGCAAGAAAGGAAAAGGTGGATAAACTAGTTCGGTGCTTCTCTGACGTGCAATTGAGGGGGGGGCTGCCCCCCCCAAAAAAGAGTCGAGGGGGGTAGAATTTAAAATACATTCCCTTCTCCTTTCTCTTCTGAGTTTTCGAAGAATGAAATACGAAAAACAAAAGAATATTCGAGGGGGGTGGAATTTAGAATAAATTCTCTTCTCTGATTTTAAGGAAATACAAACAACAAAAAAGGTCGCGGGGGGTGGAATTTAGAATACATTCCCTTGTCTCTTCTTTCTGCCTCCCACGCGACATTCTCGCTTCTCCCTTCCTCCCGCTCCCTCGTCTGTGATTTAAAATGAAGTGCTTCGAGAAACCGAACAGTCTCGTCTTTACTTCTCTGATTTTTCGAATATAAAAAAAAACAAAAAACAAAACAAGATTCGAGGGGGGGTGGAATTTAGAAAAAATCCCTTCTCTCTTCTCCTCTGATTTCTCGAAGAATGAGATACAAAAAACAAAAAAGATTCGAGGGTGGGTGGAATTTAGAACACATTCCCTTCTCTCTTCTCCCTTCCTCCCACTCTACATTCACTGCCTCGTCTCTATATAATTCAAAATAAAGTTCCTTCTGTCTTCTCCCCTCCGTCCCATTTTGCAACAAGTAAATGGGGGGGGCTGCCCCCGCTCTTTACTTCTAGAAACGAAAACAATCTCGTTTCGACTCCTCTGAGTTTTGAACAATGAAATACAAAAACAAAACAAGATTTGAGGGGGGTGGAATTTAGACGAAAGTCCTTTCACTCTTCTCTTCTCTTTTCAAGTCACAACAGGCAAAATGGGGGGGGGCTGCGCCCCCCCCAACCCCCCCGCTCTTTACTTTTAGAAACAACAACTGTCTCGTCTCCTCCTCTGATTTTCGAAGAAGGAAAGACCAAAAAACAAAAGAAGATTCGAGAGAGGTAGAATTTAGAACAAATTCCCTTCTCCCTTCTCCTCTGAGTTTTCGAAGAATGAACTACGAAAAACAAAAAAATATTCAAGGAGAGTGGAATTTAGAACAAATCCTCTTCTCTCTTCTCCTCTGATTTCGAAATACAAAAAAGAAAAAATTCGAGGGGGGTGGAATTTAAAATACATTCGCTTCTCTTGGCTCCCTTGCCAGGATATTGTGTGTTCCGACATCCGAAATAATCAAATTAAACTTTGATCAGACTTTGGTGAATTTTGACCTAGAGTTCAACCTGGGTTCAACCGTTGAACCTGGGTTGAACCCAGATTCAACCCAAACCCAGGTTCAACCTGGGTTTAACCCAGAGAACCCCAGAACAATTCAGACTCTTCAATTAGTTCGAACTCAGGTTTAACACAGGTTCAAATTCCGTTTTTTTTTGGGAAGGGTTCGAACTGGGTTGAACCCAGGTTCAAATCCCCCCTCCGACCTTAGTGGGCGTCCGAGTAGACCCTCTGCTGCCTAAACTTCAAGTCACGTGTCAACTGGGAAACTAGGAGGGTCACATAAACAACTTGCGTCGTAAGAAGTCTCCACTCCTCTGATTTTCGAACAATGAAAAACAAAAATAAAACAAGATTTCACGGGGGTGGAATTTAAAATTTAATCCCTTCTCTCTTCTTCCTTTTTTTCGAACAACGAAATACAAAAAACAAAAAATTCGAGGGGCGTAGAATTTAGAATAACTTCCTTCTCTCTTCTCCTCGGATTTTTTTAATAATGAAACACAAAAACAAAAAAGATTCGGAGGTGGAATTTAGAATGAAAGAGCCTGTGCATCTTGTTTTTTTTTTTTGGATCTGTGCATCTTGAGCCTGTGCGAGTGCAGGCGGCCTGGCATCTGGCGCAAGGCTTGCTCCATTGCTTGAAACTAAAAGATACTGTAAGTCTCTCAACTGCCCGCGCAGCGGCCGATTTTTTGATCTTTCTCCCTGCTCCCGGATCCGGAGGGCCCACAGGCTTTAGGTTTGTTGCGATTCATCTGCGTGCTGCCTTGCACATCTCTGTCACATAGGTTCTGTAAGGAGCCAATAGGCTTGATATCTCTCCGTCTTGCTCGCAGGTTCCGTCGGTCAATAAGCTTTAGATCAAGATCTCTTCAGGTTTGCTCAAACTTCATGCCGGGTTCTGAAACCCAGACTTTAGGTTTGCGATTTCCCTCCCTGCTCCCAAGTTCCAAGGGACCACAAACTTTGGGTGCACAACTTAACCTTCAATCACATCTGGGCCTTTGTGCACTTGAGTTGTCTGCCTTAAGTGTGAAGCACAGGCACGAGGACATGTCAAGCAGTGCAGATTTCTTTTGGCTTGGTGAGACCTTGTTTTGAGTGGGAAGAACCGTTTTCTGTTCGGTTTCTCGAAACTCGTTTGTCGGAACTCGTTTCCTGTTTGTGACCTGGTATTTGGTGACCAGAAGTGACTCAAGCCAGTTTAGGTCTGCACAGAGCTCAGCAGAGCACCTAGAGGTGCTAGGAACCAACCCACAGTTTTAAGAGTGGAAGTTCTGGCTGAGTGTTTTCACCTGAAGTACCTTTGTTTTCCCATGTCTGGCAGACAGTGTTTGAAGCTGGAGAGCCGTGCTCGCATTGGCTCAAGACGAGCGGAGCTCGAGAAGCTGTGAACAGCGCAGTGAAAAGAGTCCGCACTTCGTGCTGTGAGGGTTAAGTGTAGTCTTGACCTGAGGTCCCTTGGGCCCCGTAGCTGTGCCACGAGTTTCAACGTGGTAGCGGAGCTTCGTGCTCCAGCATGGACACTGGTGAAGAACGTGTGCCTGGACGAGACCGTTCTCCGAGAGGCCGCAGCGCAAGCAGCCTGAGTTCCACAGGGCTTTCTGGTGCAAGGTCACCAAGTGCCCGTGAGAGAAGAGAACGTGGAAGGTCTTTGCCAGCGCGACCAGCTTCAGTTCCACGCGGAGTAGACCCAAGGCAGTGGACAGCTACGACTGGAGCAGGCCATCAGCCACCAGTCGGGGCTGTGCCTTCGTTTGGACCTCAGTTCTACCAGATGGGAACACCCCCTCAGACGGCACCACAAGAACCCCTTCAAGTTCCGAATATGCAGTTGCCCGTTGCACCTGG